GGTGCCTGGGTGGCTCAGTTGGTTAAGCGGCTACCTTCGGCTCGGGTCATGATCCTGGGGTCCTGGGATCGAGCCCCACATCCAGCTCCCCGCTCAGCGGAGAGCCTGCTTCTCCCTTTCCCTCTGCCTATTTGTGCTCTCTATTTGTCAAATAAATAAAATCTTTAAAAAAAAAAAACCCAAGATGGACCAAAAATTAAAACAGATTACCTAAATGTAAGCATTAAAACAATAAAACTCTTAAATAGGGGAAAATATTCATGACCTTAAATTTGGCAGTTTCTTAAATATGCCACCAAGACCACAAGTAAAAAAAAAAAAAAGATATATTGGATGTCTTTAAAATGAGCAATTTTATGTATTAAAAGGACACCATCAAGAAAGTAAAAGACAACCCACAGAATGGAAAAAATAACTACAAGTCATATACCTCATATGTGTCTAATATCTAGAATATATAAAGAGGAGCGCCTCGGTGACTCGGTTAAGCGTCTGACTCTTGATTTCAGCTCAGGTCATGATGTCATGGTCATGAGATCGAGCCTCTCATCAGGCTCCATGTTCAGCAGGGAGTCTGCTTGGGATTCTCTCCCTCTCCCTCTGCCCCTCCCCCTCCTCGTATGCGCTCTAAAATAAATCTTAAAAAAAAAATGAATATGTACAGAACTATAGCTTAAAACAACCCAACTCAGCAACAACAGTTTAAAAATGGGCAAAGGACTTGAACAGACTCTTCTCCAAACCAGATATACAAATGGCCAACAAGCACATTTTAAAGATGCTCAATATCCTACTCACTAGGGAAATGCAAATCAAAACCACAATGAGCTACCGTGTCATAAGTATTAAAATGAGTATAATTTTTTAAAAAAAGGAAAATAAGTGTTGGCGAGGATGAGAAATTAGAACTCTCATACATTACTGCTGGGAATGTAGAATGCTGCAGTTGCCATGGACAATCATTTGATGGTTCCTCAAAAAGGTAAACATAGAATTACTAAATGACCCAACAATTCCAACTCCTATGTATATAAACTCAAAAGAATTGAAAAAAAGGACCCAAATAGATGCTTGCACACCCATGTTCATAGCAGCATTATTCACAAAAGTCAAGAAGTGGAAAAAAAGCTCATGTGAAATCAACAGATAAATGTTTAAACAAAATGTACATTTGAAGAATATTATTCAGCCATGAAAAGAAAAAAAAAATTCTGATACATGCTACAACATGGATAAAACTTGAAAACATCATTCTAAGTGAATGAAATAAGCCAGACACCACTATGGTACAACTCCACTTACATGAAATACCTACAATAGGCAAATTCAGACACAAGAAGTACAGGCATACCAGGGGTGCCTGGCTGGCTCAGTTGGAAGGGCATGCGACTCTTGATCTCAGGGTTGTGATTTCAAGCCCCATGTTGGGCACAGAGATATACTTAAGTAAATAAATAAAAAGAAAACTTAAAAGAAAAATTACAGGCATATCTTGGAGATATTGCATGTCCAGTTCCGGACCATTGCAATAAAGCAAATACCGTAATAAAGTGAGCCAAATGAATTTTTTGGTTTCCTAGTGCATGTAAAAATTATGTTTATGCTATACTGCAGTCTATTAAGTGTGCAATAACACTAAGAAAAAGTACATACTTTTGTGGGAAAAAAAATTCTTTATTGTTAAAAAAATGCTAACCCGTCTGAGCTTTTGGTGTGTCAACAGTCCTTTTGCTGGTGGAGGGTCTTGCCTTGATGTTGATAGCTGCTGACTGATCAGGGTAGTAGTTGCTGAAGGCTGGAGTGGCTGTGGAAATTTCTTAAAATAAGACAACAAAGTCTGTGGAAATGATGGAAGAGTCCTTTCATGCTATTTGATAGCAATTTACCCACAGAACTTCTTTCAAATTGGAGTCATCTTAATCCCTGATATTGCTTCATCAACTAAATTTATTTATGTGATATTCTAAATCTTCTGCTGTCACTTCAACAATCTTCACAGCATCTTTACCAGGAGTAGATTCCATCTCAAGAAACCCCTTTGCTCATCCATAAGAAGCAACTTCTTATCATTACAAGTTTTATCATGAAATTGCAGCAATTCAGTCACATCTTCAGGCTCCACTTCTAATTCTAGTTCTCTTACGATTTCCACCACAGCAGTTACTTCTGCTCAAGTCTTGGAATTAGCTTCTATCAAATTCCTGTTAATGTTGATATTTTGGCCTCTTCCCATGAATCATACATGTTCTTAGTGGCACCTAGAATGGTGAATCCTTTCCAGAAGGTTTTCAATTTACTTTGCCCAGATCCATCAGAGGAATCACTACTATGGCAACTATAGCTTTTGAGATGTATTTTTGTTTTTTAAGATTTTACTTATTTGAGAGAGGGAGAGGGAGAAGCAGACTCCCTGCTGAGCAGGGAGGCCCGATACGGGCTTGATCCCAGGACTCTGGGATGAGGCCCGATACAGGCTTGATCCCAGGACTCTGGGATCATGACCTGAGCCGAAGGCAGATGCTTAACGACTGAGCCACCCAGGTGCCCCATGAAATGTATTTCTTAAAGAATAAGACTTGAAAGTCAAAACTACTCCTTGATCAATGGGCTCCAGAGCAGATGTTGTGTTAGCAGGCATGAAAACAACATTAATCTTGGTTGTCCATCTCCATCAGAGCTCCTGGGTGATCAGGTGCATTGTCAATGAACAATAATAGTATTTTGAAAACCTTTTTCCTGAACAGTAGGCTTAAAATATTCAGTAAATCATGCTATATAGAGATGTGCTCTCATCCAGGCTTTGTTGTTTCACTGACAGAGCACAGGGAGAGTAGATTTAGCATAATTCTTAAGGGCCTTAGGGTTTTCAGTATGGTCAATGAGCACTGGCTTCAACTTACAGTCATCAGCTGCATTAGTGTCTAATAAGAGAGTCTTTTTTAAAGATTTATTTATTTCGGCAGGGGGGAGAAAGAGAGGGAGAGAGAAGGAGACTCTCCGCCAAGTGTGGAGGCCAACGCAGGGCTTGATCCCACAACCCTGAGATCATGAGCCAAAAATCAAGAGTCAGATGCTCAACCAACTGAGCCATCCAGGCACCCTAGTCCATCTTTTGAAACTCTGAAGCCAGGCCCTGACTTCTCCTTTCTAGCTATGAGAGACCCAGATGGCATCTTCTTCCAAGAGAAAGCTATTTTGCCTACACTGAAAATCTGTTTAATGTAGCCACTTTCATTAATTATCTTAGCTAGATCTTCTGGATAACTTGCTGCTTCATCTTGTACTTTTATTTTATGCAGACATCTTCTTTCCTTTAACCTCATGAACCAACCTCTGTTAGCTTCAAACTTTTCTTCTGCAGCTTCTTCACCTCTTTAAGAGAACTGAAGAGAGAGAGGGCTTTGTTCTGGATTAGGTTTTGGCTTAAGGAAATGTTGTAGCTGATTTGATCTTCTACCCAGATCAATAAAACTTTCTCCGTATCAGCAATAAGGTTGTTTCACTCTATCATTTATGTGTTCATTGGAGTAGCTCTTTTAATTTCCTTCAAGAACTGTTCCTTTGCATTCGACAGCTTGGCTGACTGGAGCAAGAGGCCTAGCTTTCAGCCTATGTTGCCTTTTGACACCTTCCCGACTAAGCTTAAATTATTTCTAGCTTTAATTTAATCTCAGAAATGTGTGACTCTTCCTTTCACTTTAATAATTAAAGGCCATTGTAGGGTTATTAATTGGCCTAATTTCAGTACTGCATCTCAGAGAATAGGGAGGCCTGAGGAGAGGGAGAGAGATGGAGGAACAACCTGTTGGTGGAGCAGTCAGAACACATACAACACTTATCAATTAAGTTCACTGTCTTGCATGGGTGTGATTTGTGGCACCCCCAAAACAATTATAGTGGTAGTATCCAGGATCATCACAAATCACCATAACAAATATAATAATAATAGAATTTGAAATACTGTGAGAATTACCAAAATGTGACACAGAGACACAAAGTGAACAAATGCAGTTGGAAAAATGGCACTGTCAGGGTTTCCACAAACTTCAATTTATTAAAAAATGCAGTATCTGCAAAGCACAATGAAGTGCAGCACAGTAAAATGAGTTATGCCCACACATTAGAGGTTACCAGAGGCTGTGGGTAGGGGGAAATGAGGGAGGATTTCTTAATGGGTATAGCGTTTGGAGATGAAATTTTTGGAAAAAGATAGTGGTAATTGCTGTACAACACTCTAATTAATGCCACTATATTGTGTACTTACAATGGATAAAAATGGCAAATTAAAAAAAACCAAAACAGTAAAAACAGAAGCATACAAAAAAACAACTTTATGAATTGTCCTGGATCCAAAAGATAAGATTATGAAACATGTTAACAAGTAGTCTTTCAAATGCAATAAAGCATCAGATAGAATGGAGCCACTTCTATACACCTAGAGCAACATATTCAGTGTGTGTTAACAACATCACTTGGAAGGAAAACAAAAAAGGCATCCTCTCTTACCTTTAAAACCATGTCAGTTTAAGATGAATTCTAAGTGTTCAAGGTTCAAAATTTCTGAGTTTCAATTCTCTTCATTGCAAAGTTTTCAGGATCTGAATGGTGGTGCTCAAGTATCAAAAAAAAATATCAAATTCCTTAATAAAATGAAGAAACATCCCTAGGACTTCCTAGGAAGAAGAATTTTATATAACTACTGGATATATTTCTTCACCTTTTATATGCAAGAATATCAAACTTATAGATAACTATAAGAAATTTGCAAAACATCATTTATCTAACCTATGAAATGAAAAATCTGACAGCTTTATAATTGAGTACTCTCCTATAAAATTACAGTAGAGATTACTAAATGAAAGGCCAGCACAAATATAAATTAAATATCATTACTGGCACGGTAAGACTTCATGATCTTAAAAATGAAACCCATAAAGGAAAATGATACCATTTTGCACAGCCTTCTTCCCCCAGAAAAAACTATGACTCAACAAAACCACATTTTAACAACATGAAGATCTTATTATAAATTTCAAAACAAAATGGAGGAATTTCCACATAATATTTATAACCTTCAAAGTACAATATTAATACAGGTCTGTCAGTTAGAAATAACAGCAGTTTGTTAGGCTACAGGATTTAACATAAAACCAATTTACAAATGTGAAAAGCAGTAGTGGTCCAATATTCACCATTACACATGAATCTGTTTCTTCCAGAAAATTTTTTTTAAAAATTAAAATTTCCGTATCATGAAATATTAAAATAACACCCAAACATGCCACAATCACTATTCACAAATAAAGTTAAAATGAAATATACAAAAATTCACTTAATACTGTTAAATAACAATAAACTACAAGATTTCCTGAACAGAAATGGTAGGACCCCTGAATGTTTTACAGTGAATATCAGGAAAAAAAAATTAAGTTATGATTATTTTCATGATATATAAGCCAAAAATTTACATGACCATTTCAAAATATACCAATTAAGATTTGTAGTTCGTAAGATGCACTAAATGAACAAACAGTCCCTAAAAGTTAACACAAATGCTTAAAACACTTACCAACACCAAGGTGTGTTTATGATGTTCAAAGAGATGCATAATTGAAACTGTAATATTTACTATCTCTGATAAACACGTTAATACCTACAATGCTTTAAAACAATCCTCTAAGTTCTTGTTTCTCTCATTTGTATTTATCATGGCTCATTTCAAAGACATATTACAGCTTTTAGCTGATTCCAAGTGAATGTTATTAAAACATACATATACACACGCAGCCCCCCAAATGAAATAAATGGCTCCCCAAAGAAGTATCATCCCTTCTAATAAAAGAATCGTATTTAAGACGAAAACAAGACCTCACATATTTCAATAGACTTGTATGGTTTAGTTTTAACTAAATTAAAGCACAATGTAAAATAGGTAAGTGTATTAGTATACACATATCCAATAATATGCAGTAAATATTTCTAAAATGAGGAAAGGTAAAAATAAATAATTTTGGTGCTTTAATTTACTGGTATCTAATGTGAGATCCCTATAATGTCAGGTGTTCACTTGCTTGAATCAACTTCTGCATCACATGCTTTCCTAAACATGTGCTCATCAATTTCTTAGCTACTCTACTTGCGGATGTTCAATAAAAAATTATATAGCATGAACTTAGAGTGTTCAAGATGGCTCACTTATTTTACCGTTAATAAGCAAAGCTAAATTTACATTCCAGGAAACACTGCAGTTTAATTTTTAAAACAAACAAGAAATGCAGCAGTAAAACAATTCGTGAGGAGAAACAGATGCATTCACATCTAATAAAGCCACTGCAACTTCTTCAGGCATTTAACTGTTGTGTTAAATAAACAGACAGTAGTTATTTAGCAGCAATGATTCCGCAATAAATAATGCACTGTGTTTCTAGTCCTGCACAAAAATTGCAGCTACAGTTACATCAACAGCTGTAACCTACTGGCTCTAATGGCAGAGAAGACCTTAAAACCAACTGTACAAAAAAATTGTCACACTGTGACAACAAATATAAAAACAATCTGTAGGTCTGAAATAAAAAGACTCCACTGTGAAGAGGACAGTGTAGACAAACGGAGATTCCAAGTCCACCAAAAGAAATAATTGCCTTCAGATCTGAGTCCTTGATTGATAAGAAAGGCTGGGGGCTGGGCTTGAAACCATTTTATCAGACTTAAAAGAGCATGCTCTGTCTTCTGTTCTTCCCATGTCCTAAAATATAAAGTCATTTTATGAGGCAGTTCAAGGTTCAGTTTTATCCCACATACAGTATTTGGTGACTCTAGGAAGCTAATGTTCCCACCAGCAAAAACTAATGTTCCACGATAAGAGTGATCAGCACTGTCTTAAAGACCCTTTTGTTGATGGGGTCAGTCTATAGCTTCTATGCTTCGAAGTGATGAACCTGAAGACTAGGGAAGCACAAGGTGTGTCTTCTGCCTCAGGTACCAGGGATGGCGTGTGCAGTGATCAAGCCAGGCCACTTGTAAAAGGTCTTTGTGCCATCTGCAGCTGTCAGGATCCCTGACTTGACTGAGTCAGATTTCTCTCTGAAGAATTACTGAGCTGCCCACATCATACAGAAAAGTGAGTACGTGCAATGCTAAACATACAGTTGTGGAATGCACTGTACATTGGTTTTTACATCAATAATTTTACTGATCAATTTATAAACCAAAAACGTGGTTCCACGCAAAATTTCATGATCGACACGTGAAATGGTTTATGACAAACACACCTGTCTCTGGATAAGAAGAGTTTCGAAAACCCGGGTCCTTTTGCAACTGAATCTCTTTCAAACTGAATATTGATACACCTAAAATGCATAGACAAAAACTGTCAGGTAAAGGTCTAACATTATTAAAACAAATATAACCCAACTACAGACAGAATGTTTAAAAATGTATATTGATTCGCAGAACATGTTAACATAACAATAAAAAAATTTAAGGAGAAAAAAATGTATATTGATTCAACATGAAACATTTATGCTACATTTACAAGGTTACAGCCCTACTGAACTATTTTCCCCTTTGCCCCAATGTTTTGAGAAGGAAACCAAACAAAATAATCTCCCCTCAGAAACCTTCCCCTGCAACTCTGCTTTGAATAATGCTTCTAATATGTTTCTCCTCAAATATGTACATATAGAGAATATACACTGTCTCTTTCTAGGACTTACTGGGGTTGGGAGACCTAATCAAAAGATATTTCTTGACTTTTATTCTCTCTGTCCTTTATGTCTCCTTATAATGGCAGAAGGTATCAGGGCCTCAAAATAACTGCAGATTTTCAGAAAAAAAAAAAACAAAAAACAATAGGTTTGTACACAACCATAATTGCCTACCTCAAACTATGAAACTTGGTGTTAATAATGAAATGTAAATATCATCTTAAAAAACACCTGTAATTCATCTTTCTCATTTCCATCTCTGCCAGAGAGGTAGTCTTTCATTAAAAAATATCCAGGTAAGTTCTAAGTGAAAAGTCTTAAAGATTCTTGATTCCAATTAGCAAACCTCAATGAATTAATATTCTTTAGTGGTAAATGAAATGGGAAATTAATGAAAGCTTTTGGAATCTCAGTTCCTAAATATTCTAATTCCCCATTCACCTTACTCAGTTTTAAAGTAAAATGTTGGGGTAATCTTTTAAAAGGTTATGAGTAAAATGAAGCAGTTAACTCAGACATGAGAAATCAGCTCTTTTAGTGACTGACAATACAATCACCACTGTCATGAGGATAATAAAGTCAGTGACCATAGCAAAGAAAAATCATCTTTGTATCTTGAAAAGGAAATCTACTTTCACAAGAAAACAGTTTTATGTTTTGGTTGTGTTTCATTACTCTTTGCCTGAAATCCATTTTCAGAAACTCTGAATCAAAGCAATCCTAGAATGGGCCTAATGACAACGTCTATCATCAAAAGGCATTTTCCAATTTAAGTCTAATAAGATTAATAACCCATGCCTAAGTACTACTGATTTCTTACAGAGCAGTGGCAATGTGTTCAGTGTTAAAAGAAACAAATTAAGGGGGTGCCTGGGTGGCTCAGTCAGTTGGGCATCCGCCTCTTGGGTTTCAGCTCGGGTCAAGTTCTCATAGGTTGTGAGGTCAAGCCCTACTCGAGCCCCACTTGGGCTCCAAGTTCAGCAGGAAGTCTGCTCGAAGATTCTCTCCCTCTGCCCCTCCCCCTACTCACAGGGGAACATTCTCACTCACTCTCTCTAAAATAAGTCTTAAAAAAAAAAAAAAGAAACAAAATGAAAACATATGCAAATCAACACTTCCCTTCAAAGAATTCTGATCTGGTTATAAAAAGACTAAAATTTTATGCTTAAAAACCAACAACAATCTCTTCCTAAACCCCTAATTCACCCCAGTCTCCAATACTGGACAAATGAAAATGGTGGTGGGGGGGGCGGACTTTAGAATTTCTCTTACTTTCAGGTAAAGTATGTATTCTTGGTCCCAGACTTCGAAAGTATACATGTTTCATGGCCTCTTCTGCTGAAACCCTTTTCTTAGATTCGTACTGTGAAAAAGCAAAGAACTGCTTCATTAACTTTTTCTCTAAACATTATGAGGGGAGGCAGATTAGCATTTAGAGCTACTTTTATTTGTAATACAATGACTGCTTTTTAAGAACCAATTTGGAGTACACCAGATATACTCAAATGTGAGTTACTATTGAGATTATGTAGTAATGACTATATCTCAGTTCCAAATTTCCAAGATGAAGCTGGATATTCACTAAAAATTTAGATTCCCTGTATTTTCTGAAGTGATAAAAAAAAATTAAAATATCTGACCTTTGGCATTCCTTTTCCTCATGAACACCAAAGGATCATTGGAAATATATCCAATACTTTTATGACAGACATTATTAAATTACCTACTGGATACCCATTTCCCTTTTTTCCTTGATGAGATAATCTAGATTTGTTTAAGGGGTCCATGCTTCCAAATCCAGCGGATTAATCATGAATCATGACTGTTTTTTGTTTAGGCTAACTATGATAATCTTGCTCGCAATTCCCAGCCTCTCTTACAATTAATGTTCTGGCCAATGAGACTTAGGATGAAGCTTTGCAGGGGTTTCTGGAAAAGCCTTTGCTTTCCAGATACAAGTGGGCGATTATGGCTGACACCCTTATCCTCTCTTCTTACTGCTTTGAATAGAAGATATAAATGGTATTTGTAGGTGCAGCAGCCTGTAAGGCTGTTAAGTATAAGGAAAAGAAAAAGAACTTAAGAGACTATGAATTGCAGAGAACATGGCCCTGACATAGTTGATCAATGCCAGAAGGTGACTACCTCAGAGTTCTAAGTCACAATGAGAGACCCATACACATTAAGAGAAACCATCATTTATTATTTTTTTACTTACACATATGCCTTAAGCATGCCAGATACTACAATAATCTTATTTAACTATCATGACAAATACTTAAGCATGTTATTATTGATCCCATTCTATAGATGTAGAGAAACTGAGGCTTAGTGATTACAAAGTAAGATGTAACTTACCTGAAGAAACTTTGTTATTAACTCAATTCCCTCAGAGTCTAACCTAAAAACAACAAAAAACAAGTGGCAATTTATTCATCTTAGCTGACAGCAACTTTTCAAATAAAACTATTTCCCTAATGTTTTAACCTGCTAACTTCAAGTGCTCTAAAATAGCCACTCTTGTTGCTTTCAAATAGACTCAAATCTGTTTTATCCTTAAAAACTTATCTTGCCACTTGTTTAAGAAGAAACTATAAAAAACTGGGCTTTGACTCAAATTTTCAATAATGAAGAACAAATTAGATAATTAAAGAATTTTTTAAAATCACCATTCTGTCTCAAAGTAACCCTTATTATCACAAAAGCTGAAGTTACATGTATCATTTTCATACTGTTCCACTACACACAAGATACAAAATCACCATTTTCTTACTGTATAGGTGAAAATAAAGACAAGTAACTCAGAATATATCACTGTGGTTCACAATAAACACAGATGACTCATTCAACATGTTTTTACAGGGTAGTCTACTGAGAACTGGGTACTAGAACCTATAAAGTTCAATGTACATATACCACAATGACATCATAAAACTTAATTAAAAATTAGGGCTACAAAATCAATGAGGTAGTCAATAAAGATGATAATTATAGTGATGAAATCCATTTAGTAAGTAAGCAGAGGGTTTGGGGACTATTTTAATGGGATAATCTCTTGATCAGAAATCACAGGTTCTATTTTGCATGCCTTTCACTGGCAAAAAGCACAATTATGAATAAAGAAATATTCCCAAGTGCTCTTAGTGGGTATGTGGATGCTGTAGCCTAGACATTCTCCAGACTACTCCTTTGTAGTTTGCCACTCTGACAAATATCCAGAGCTCCTTGGGCACAGACAAACTAGGGGCTAAGGTCATGGAGAACCTGCTTTAAAGAAGAGATTCAACCTTCTGCACTGGACACTACAATAGTAAGCAACATATAAATGACAAAAATAGGATTTATGCTATTTAGAAGGAAGAGATACACACAAAAAGCCCTGCATATAGTATTATTCTGCCTAAGAAAGTCTACTTAGAATGTTATTAGTTGCTATAGTAACAATAAGAACATCAATTCACATAAATATTTTAAAAATATTTTTGGTATCAGAACTGTTTTTTCTACTCTCTCTAGCTTGAGAATAAATGAACTAGATCCAAGTGTGTTACGTCATGAGCAATGTTAATGGCTTTTGATTAAAAGACATTGACCTTATTTGGTATCTGAGTATACTCTATTTTTTTAAAGGAAACATGAAAAAAAAACAAAGGGGTTATTCTTTGTTACTTACTGAAAATGTAATAATTCCATAAGTAGAAATGTTCTGACTGAAATTTTAATGGGGGTTTTAAATGGACCTGGGGGTAGATCTGAGAAACATTAATGAAATGACCAACATTTAGGATATGAGGGGTCAGAAAGAGTTTACATTCTTCAAATACAAATCATGTCATTAACATTGGCCAAATACTGATGGATCATCTTGGGTGAGAGTCAAGATTTTACTTATAACGCTTAGGTTTTTGTAAGTAAATACAGAATAATTCCATAGGAAGCAAAACAAAAATTTTATCATGGTCCTCATGGTACTGAATATGGCATTAACCAATGTCTTCTTTCTGACAGAGGGAACAATCTACATAAACTCTAGAATTCTAATATGGATGTTCTATATTCATCTTATTTATAGCTTGATTCTATGATTTATGTATCTTGGTCTCTGAATTATAAAATTAATCTGACAAAAGGAAGAAAGAAATTCATTCAGATTCAAATCAGATCCTAAAATATTTAAGAACTCTGTATGTGTATTATATATTTTTCCCTGAATCCTTACTGCGGCTAATGCTTCAAGAGACTAGAAAGAATCATGTGGGTTTTCCCCCTTTAGCTTAAAGAAATGAAAAAAAATACCTGGGTGCATGGTTAATGAGAGGCTGTGGTTTGTATTTTGGAAAGTTGTAGTTCTTGAACTCATCATTTGAAGAAACACCTGGCCAAGTTTCCTGAGATGGTGTTCCTGAATTAAAAAAAAAAAAAAATTTTATTTGCAAATATATAAAAATTTATACATACACAAATATATATAAATAAGGAGAACTAAAAGTGTCTTAAAGAAAAATTTACATTTAGTAGCTGGTTTTACTATTTCAACTGAAAGCAAAATGACAGAAATAGTGAACACATACTGACTTTTTTGGGACTATGCAATCATGCCATAAAAATGCCATAGTGCCTAATTGATACCTAACCTAGAAATATTTCCTAATAATATGCTAAAGGTCAATTTTCAACAATATTTCTCTTCTCTGTTCTTGCATACAATTTTTAATGCAAAGGCAGAACTTAGTAAATGAAAAGGAGAAGTTACATAGAAGGCTCTATCTTTATAATTATGCTAATTATAACTCTTTTCTTTGTAATCAGGTTTTTTTTAAGATTTTATTTTTAAGTAGTCTCTACACCCAACATGGGGCTTGAACTCACAACCCGTAGATTACTAGTCACCATGCTCCACTGACAGAGCCAGCCAGGTGCCCCAACTAATTATAATTCTTATAACAGCTATCTTAGTCTCAGTACCAAATTTTTAAATATAGTTTTTTAAATATATAGTCTTATCTAGCTAGTCACAATTGCAGGAAACAAATTACTGGGAAAATATTTGTTACCTAGCAGTCGGAAAATCAAGTGCAGTTCATCTTCCACAGTTGATCCTGGAAACAGAGGTCTTCCAGAAGCCATTTCAAAGAAAATGCAACCAACACCCCTTTAAGATATATCATAAAAAAATGATGAGCAATCCATTTACATATTATGAAGGACAATTATCTTTTCCTTAAGATTGCCTCTGGAGATGGAGAATTTTATATTAGTCTGCTAGAAAACCTCCTACAGAGATTTTTTTCAGCTCCAACTAAGCTAATTTGTTAATATGTATCCTATTTGTCTCCACTTCCATGTTGCTAGATCCATTCCTCCATCTCCCCTCCTCTGCCCTGCCTTAAAATGTCCAGCTCTCCTCTGGATGACCCTGGAAGAAAAACATACCAATAGCTAATAGTGATTTAATGCCTATTATGTCTTAGTGGGTAGCAGGGATAGGAAGAAGCAAATAATTCAAGATACTTTTATGCCGGAAGCAGAGATAGAACATACAGGTGCAGGGTGGTGAGTGTGTATGAGAAGGAAAAGAAATGTATGGGGATTCAGTGAATAAATACTACCTTCTAGAATCTGTGTCAATACCCTTAAGAAACAGTCCCTTCTGTTAAAGGGCTCACTATCTAACCACTGTATGTAAAATTTTACATATTAAAATGGTATACAAAAAGTTACAATGATGGAGCCACTATGGAAAACAGTATGGTTGTCCCTCAAAATAATTTAAAAGAGAATTACCATATGATCCAGCAATTCTACTCCTAAGTATATACCCAAAGGAACTGAAAGTAGAGTCTCAAAAACATATTTGTCACCTAACCTATGTCTATAGCATTACTCATAACAGCCAAAAGGTAGAAACAACCCATATGTCCATCAAAAAAATGGATAAACAAAATGTAGCATACATATACAATGATTATTCAGTCTTAAAGATGAAAGCAATTCTGACTATATCTCTACAACATGGATGAAACTTGAAGAAAATTATGCTATGTGAAATAAACCAGTCACAAAAGGACAAATACTAGATCATTCTACCCATATGAGGTGCTTAGAAATGTCAAATTCACAGAGATGGAAAGTAGAATGGTGGCTGCCAGTGGCTGGTGGGAGGAGGAAATGGGGACTTGTCTAATGGGTATGGAATCTCAGTTTTGCAAGATGAAAAAAGTTCTGGAGCATTAAGGTTGCACAACAATGTGAATGTACTTAATGCCAAAGAACTGTACAACTAAAATGGGTTAAAATGGTAAGTTTTATATTATGTATATTTTACAATTTAAAAAATAAGTTTAAAAAAATGTTATACAAAATTATATATAATTGTTCAATGCAAGACAACAGAAGGAAGTGTATGACTTATCATTGCATTATATAGTCAATAAATCCAACCACAGTAATTTGAATAAGGTCATTACATAGTTATAAGTGGCAGAACTGGTAAACCTAAGTAATCTTACTCATGTGTCAAAACTTTTAATTATTGCTTATATTGTCGCTCTTTTTTTTTTTTTTAAAGATTTATTTATTTATTTGACAGAGAGAGGGAACACAAACAGGGGGAGTGGGAGAGGGAGAAGCAGGCTTCCCGCTGAGTAGGGAGCCCGATGCGGGGCTCGATCCCAGGACCCTGGGATCATGACCTGAGCCGAAGGCAGATGCTTAACAACTGAGCCACCCAGGCACCCCTATTGTCGCTCTTTAAAATATTATCTCCTTAAAAGTCAAATATCTCTCAGTACGCCCTGTGTGAACAGCTACATTCTTTCAAAATTATAAATGGCAATAACATCTGTATGTATTTACCACATGTCAATCTGTGTTGAGTACTCTGAAGAACCGAGAAGCACATCAGGTGGCCGGTACCACAGAGTGACGACTTCATTGGAGTAGGTCTTCGTGGGAACTGACTTGGCTCTGGCTAGCCCTTCATAGGGAAAAGAGAACAATTAAGAAATGGCTATAATGGATTTCCCAACCCTTATCTTCACCATGACTTCAGTCACAAGTTTTTATGTCTGAGACAGCTACTCTCTAGTTTCCTGAAGTTTAAAAAATCAGTTTTATGAATTTTTTTTTGAGTGTGCGTGGTCTTGGGTAAGCAAATCTTTATGTAATTAAATAATAACAATTCCACAATCAGAGACTATGTTTATTTTTATGCATGTGAATGCACCTGATACAGTGCCTGGGTTAATCTAAACTTAAGATACTTGCTTTCAATGAATCATGGTGCCAAAATTATTTCCAAGTGGAACTTAAATTAATGCCAAATATGCCAATGAGACAGAGTTTTACTTCTTATAGCTATAGGCTTCTGTTACCTTTTTTAACCTGATTCCAACTTTCATTTGCTATACCAATTTTAGTTTTCTTAGACTAAAATTACACTGCTATTGTGTACTTTAAGTTTTAAGTTATATTTAAGGATAATTTTAAATAAAATGGACCATGCTGCCTTTGGCTATTATTAATGTAAATGATGAAAACCCTGTGCCACTCCTTTGCCAATTTAAAATGGAATTCACTGGTTATCCAGAAATAAAGGCAAGAGTTACAACTTCATCTCTTGAGCCACCCGCATGAGAGTTGTTTTTTTACTATCTCTAAGCCTCCAAATTCTGATCACTTGAAGAAGCAACTCTAAAAGATACCTGAAGAAATATAAATTTATTCTAACATATAGTTTATTTCAAATAACAAGGAATAGTTCATTTTTAGGCTGTGATTTATTATGTAACTTTATATATTTGATTAAAATATTAAATATGAAAAATGTAATAAAAGGATAATTCAATACTTTATTAAACTGGATAAAAGCACTCAAAACCAGAAATTTAAATAGTTAGGCAGCACTCATACTATTTTTGTTTAGTATAAACAAAAAGCTAAACGGTATTAACTGGAACAACGTTGATACTAGCTTATTTAATTACAAGTCTTACTCTTCCTACCAACTTTGATAATTAGCAAGATGTGGAGAGCTTTCTAGTATCTCTTCCTGATATTAATAGTGGGTTATGTGGGAACAAAAGACAGGGCCACAAGTTTGCTTGTTCTATAACCTATAACCATAGCATCAAAGCAACTGCAAGTTACAGTTTCCTCAGTACCTTACTCTCCTGCTCCTGAGAGAATTCTGAACTAGGGTGCTTGTTCAAACAGACTCCTGGTTCACAATTAGTATTTCAGTATTGGTATGAAATGACATAATCTCTTTCAAACCAAATAATTGTGATATGGTATAATTATAGAAGCCATTTTCTATTATTAATGAAAATGTTTGTCTATATTAGTACTTCCCTAGATCTGAATTTCATCAATCACAGGAAAAAGGATAGAATTTTCAAGATCAATTTACAATAAAATACTCAAAGTTATATGACCCTCCCTTACTTGTGGTCCTTAAGTATATTTACTATACAACCAATAAAAAAATAACTGAAAGCAGAGACAAAACTGATTGTACTATCTCATGGAATAATCAGAATTTCTCATTGGCGTGTGAAAAGATAAATTTGCTTGGTTTGCTTTGTTAGAAGCAAAATTTAAAGCACTTACAGCATTTCCCCCAAAAAGTAAATTTTTCATTTCTAATAGCCAAGCAGGGCTTCTCTATCACTGCTATTCATTTTAGGATTAAGGAATAAGGACCAGTAAATGCAGCTCAGCAAAAAAAAAAAAACAAAAGAGAGAGAAAATAACAATTATAAGGAAAGTAACAACATAAACTGTGCCCAAGAGACTGTATAATGTACATGAGCATATGCAAATAACTCGTAAGTTTAAACACATGTGACCTATACCCATTTCCTTTTTTTAAGGAAGGAACAATATTAACCTACTTTCAAATAGTAAAGTTAAATGAGTAAAAGTATAGGAATTTCCTGAACAAACTCACCACTTAGTGAGTTTTTAATTATTAACAAAGCAATACTTGAAACACTTATATTTTCAAATTTAGTGCAATACTCCAAAAGTAAAACTACTATTATCACTTATGAAAAATGATGAAGTGCTAATTGTAAAAACTGCACTGGCTTTTTAAAATCACATTCTATTAGAGTACTGAAACTCTCAAAATGTGGAATATTAAAAAAAACAGAAACAAAAAGCTACTATAGAAAGTTTCTTTAATGTAAAAAAATTTACTTCTTAGAAGCAAAAGGAACATGTAATCTCATTAAAATTGGGTTAGCTAAAGACAGACAGATAAATAGCATTCATTAATTAGTTAATAAGCATATAAAATACAAAGTCATGATGGCAAGAATATTAAAGAACCACCTTTCACAGTAGTGGCATTTAAACTCTTTAGTCACAGGACCCCTTTTACTAAAATTTAAAATTACTGAGGACCCAAACAGCTTTTATTTATATAGATTGATATTTGCCATATTAGAAAAACTGAGAAAAATTTAAAACTTATTCATTAAAATCACCACTTATTATATATTAACATGAATTTTTATGAAAAATATTTTTTCTAAAGGAAAATAAAAATTAGTACAAATGGTCTTATTCAAATTTTTGTAGTCTATTTTAAAAGAAGACTCTTAGATTCTCACAACTGCTTTTGCATTCAATATGTTGTGATATGTTGCTTCGAAGTATAGGGAGAGAATCAGATCTCACACATACGAAGTTGGAAAGGGGAAGAGCATTTAAACAGCCTTTTCTGAAAATTGTGCATATTCTTCTTTGACACTACATCAGATTTAATTTCTTAAACATTATGTGGTAACTGAAATTACATTAGTAAACTTCTCATACTCTTGGTACATTAAAATTCACTGGTCTATCTTGTACTTTAAGTGGATCTTTTACCCATGCATGATTCTGTAGTATCATTTAAGTACTAGTCATTTGGAAAATATTGATTCCCTAGGTTATACAGATATTCCAAATGCTTACAGATTTCTAAACATATAAAAAAAAAACATATTTGTTAATATCACCACTGATCTCACCAGTAAAGTCTTTTAAGTACGGGAAAATATCGAGCTCAAAGTGGCAGATCCAAATTTCCAAAATTTAATTTTTGCTTGAAAACTCAAACCTTCCTATTGGCAAGAAATACTTTCAGTTGTTTTCCTTGAAGTGATAGGCTCACTTATTCCCAAGAAAACATGCGCCAAAATACCTAAGTCTGAGTACCCATAGTTTGTCCGTCAGTCATTTTTTTAAATGCAAACGATGTTCTTGAAAAAAAGGGTTAATTCAGTTTGCATTCACATAAACACTATTCCTTGAGAAAACCATAGTATGTCCATGTACAGCAAATAGGTTTTATGTATACTTCTCATTTCATTACATAAAATACTAAAAAGACATGTACTTAAAGATGGAGATTTAATAAAATTAGTAAGTTTTACTGCTTCATCAAATATCTTTTTATATGTAACTGACACTTTTTTCCTCCAAGTGTATATAGTGGTGAAGAACATGATGACTACTAAGTACAATTTGGTGCCACTGCCTTAACTTATATTAATGCACCAACCAGTAGCTTTACCCCTTAGTGCTTCTGGACCATCACTGCAAATATTAACACAGTGAAAAAGGCAAGTAACATTTAGTATAATTTTGATAAAATACACCTTTGGAGATGCCCTGAAAGGGTCTCAGGATGCTTAGGGGTCTAAAAACCATACCCGAGAACTGGTGCCTTTTGGCATTCATGAACATAACTCACCCACCAAAGTTTTATCAAATATCTTATTCCATGGGCTAGAGAGAAAATTTCCAAACTCACATAAAAGCAATCACACAGTTGTTCTTATAAATGTAACCACCCAGAACTACTTATAAATATCTTATACATCCGTACCAAAATCTGCTAGCTTTAATTCTCCTTTTTCATTAATGAGTAGGTTCTGTGGTTTCAAGTCTCGGTGCAATACCTTTCTTCTGTGGCAATATGCCAAACCACGTAGAATTTGGTACAAAAACAGCTACAGAAACAAATGAATAGAAATTAGTCTTACAAATAATAAGACAATGCTTTGGTAAGCATGTTATGGTAAACAAAAGCAACTGACTAGAAGAGTTAAAGAAAAAAAAACTCGCATCCTTAAGTACAAAGCCTTTCCTGATATAGTTGGTTCTCTGAATTTTACAATTTATTTTATTTTTTTATGAAAATAAATATTGAAAAGAAAGTGAAATGAAACTCTGCATAGTAATAGTCCATTTGTTATAGAAAATGATTTAAAATAAATATATCCTCATAAGCTCACAGGCCTACTAAGGCTTACAATCTGATTATGATATTCTGGCAAAACAACTAACCAACATCTACCCCCACCCGCCAAAAAAAACCTGATCTGGGACAGTGTTGTTAAAATAAGGCATTGGAACTGGTGGTTTTATAAAAATTCTGAGGTGTGAAAGAGAATGGTGCTGCATAGCTCTGGCAAATTACGTGCTATAAAAATAACCTAAACCAGCTTCTATCACCCACCCTCTGGGTACTTTACTTTCTGCACCTCCTACTCAGCCTTCGAAATCTGCTATGATTCAGAAAAGGGAATTAGCACTGTAGAGCTCTGAATGACTCTCTGAAAAAAGCAATTCCTATAAAGCTAATGGTAGAATTTTTTGTACATTTTGGTAGAAAAGGGGATGTGGAACACAGAAGGTCTTCAATTCTCTGGAGTTGACGAAAAAGAGCCTCAAGTACAGAGGATTCAAGAATGTATCTTCAGCTTACACGTAGGTGAAAAATAGAGCATTAGGACATTAAGAATAAGCCACGGCAGGAAGCTGAACAACAGGCCCGAAAAAATTCTAAGCAGCAGTTTTCACACACTACATATTTATATGTTTTGAAAACTCTAAAATTACTATTTCTATATATTCCTGTTACTTTTTATGTCTGAAAAATATAAGCGCTATTTAAAATGATACACTAAAACATACCTTTACATTGTGCATACTCATGATGTTTCCACAGTCATCCATGTACTGTTTTAGGTCTTTATCCTGAAAAAATACAGTACTTTACTATGTGATACATACTTCTCAGAAGGCATGGCTGATTTACTTAACAGTATATAATTTTTAAAAGTGTTTTTTTCTTGGAGAAAAGATATTGAATGCACCACACATAATTTAATTCAATACCAATAACTAAACAGCAATGCCCTGGAGCTGTGAACTCAATTTCCTATGTTTTATTACAGCAAAAGTAAATACTGAATTTTTGTTAAATGCTTACCAGATACTCAAAAACCAGAGTCAAAGATTTATCTGTATGAACAATATCATGTAAGGTTACTATATTTGCATGTTTTAGATCCTTTAATAGTGAAACTGCAAAAAAGAAAAGAAAGTCAATTATTTAGTCTGTGGTAGCCAGACTATAAAAACCTGAAGTTTAACACATGAACTGAGTGTAAGATTCTCTTAAGTGTAAAACAAAAATTCACCAATGGGATCTGTAGTATAAATTTTAATAGAATCATTTTTTCTTTTATTTAATGGCTTTGGGCTTGTTTTTAATACTTAAAACTATTCCCAATGTTATAGTAATATTCTCCATAACATCATCTTCTGTTTTTTTCAAATATTAACTTATTGAGACTTACAAGATTAATTTAGATATAGTTTAAGATACCATTTTTTTCCTCCAAATTGCTCATGAGTTGCTTTTCAAGCCATTTTCTGGATAACCTAGCTTTTAAAAAAAAATGGTATCATGGTATTTACATTCTGCATATATCAATTTATAGTTTGCTTTTCCCCATAGATAATATATAACATTTCCCAATGTCAAATATTTATCCATGACAATAATTTTTAGTGACTTCATAGTATCTCACTATAAACTATACAATAATAATACTGTTAAATATTTTGACTTTAAATATTAGTTCTAATGTCTAAGTATATCTCCAGTCCTCTATATCTGAGCTCTTTCTACTTACAAAAAAATGAACTCTTGTTATGCAGCTTTGGTTTTAAAACATTCCATATAGACTCTTTCATACATTTTGCTCACAAAGATCAAATTTTACCTTCTCTTATTGCTGTGCAGGGTGCACCTTCTTCATGTTCCAACCGGATCTCTTTTAATGCCACCAAATTCTCTGTCAATTTACTTCTTCCTTTATATACTGTCGCATATGTACCCTATGAAATATATTTTCGAAAGACACATCAAAATATCCTAAGAGTCTGTCTATAGCATCTATTCAATAAAGAGCCCTAACTAAATTCCTAATTTGTAAGCATATGTTAAAGTCCATTTTTGCAAGGAAAACTCTACCATTGTAGAGTTTTAGTCTTGGTTTTCTTATAGCTAAGAGGACTTTCAGTAGTACCATATGCAGAGCCTCCATATTCTTATAACCCTATGGAATGCCTCAAAGTATGAAAACATAGAATATTTAATTTACTTTTTGTACTTTTTATCAGATTAACAACTGGATCAGTAGCTTTAGAGTCAAAGGTACTTTACCTACAATGGTATGCGGACTTTGAGGCAACTAAGTGAGCATATTAACTGAAAACTGAAAATGTAACTGACACAATGTTAAATTAGAAAAATTTTATCAGTTCTCAGACTTTTCAGAATTTGTGTACCTTCACTCTCCTTTAAAGAACAAATATACTCTACAGGAGAGTTCTTCTACCATTGCCAAGATAGCCCACAAATTCTCTTAAGCTTCCCTGTTAGCTAATTCCATTATTTTCTGGTTGGCCCTTTCTCACCCTGGAAGACAAACCACTTCAAAATCAGTCAGTACTAGTAACAAGTTCAAGAAAACCAAGGTCTTCTTAGCCAAAAATTTCCTTAACCTTCAGTGAGATGTGTTTTTATCTTTAGAGATAAAATTTTGATTTTTCGCAGGTTTGAACTCATTCAATTTCCCACATGACGGCCAGGAGGCTAATAGATGCCTATATTGTGTTACCAAGAAAGCACAATATTTTTTGCTTCAATAAAAGATTACAAGCTATAAAAAATACTCATTTCCTCTCAAATTGATGGCATAATTTCAAGAATTGAAGGTTTTCTTCCTTCTAACATTCTGTTGCCTTTTTGGTACAAGATATAATCTTTTAGACAATAGTGCTTACGTTTTTTTTCTAGGTTGGTAGAAATGGTGGCCTAACTGTGGAGTTTGGATAATGAACAAGAAAAAAAAAAGGTGCTTTATATTTTTGAAATAAGTATCTGCTTACCTCTCCAAGCTTTTCCAATTTGATATAGGTTTCCATTTTTCCAAACCCAATTTCTGACTGAAAGCAAACAATAAATTTAGTATTCTTAAAATTTCAATCCATCTCTTCCTCAATTTCTTTTTTTAGATATTATTCTTTTTCTTTTTAAAGGAGTGCACTTTATTTTTATTATTTCTTTTAAGGTAAGCTCCATGCCCAACATGGGGCTTGAACTCACGACCCCAAGATCAAGAGTCGCATGCTCTACCGACTGAGCCAACCAGGTGCCCCCCTTCACCAATTTCTGAAACTTTCCTGCTCAAGAGTGTCTTGAAATAGAAAAATCTGATTACAATTAAACTGTTGAACATCTGTCAAGTTTTAAAATTTACCCAATGTTGGAACATTCAAAGGTTCTAAAACATCAAAGTTCACAATGAAAACTGCTGAACCATCTTTTTATATAGATTGGTTAACATTCTAAGAAAAAATGTTTAAGGCCCTGAGATTTTAAGATACTAAAGAATTTTATAAAAGACAGCTACATGATTTTCTTTCTAGCAAAACTGAGAATTAAGTAATTTTCCTACATATGTTATTCCTTCACCAATTTTCGACTTCTCTAGGACGGCCTGCAAACAATAAAATACTACTTGTTTCAGGTTTTCTAACCAAAATGCAATGAAAAAGACAAGTGCAAGTCACACTCCATTACGAATCAGGAAACACAGAAGTAGTAAGTCTAAATCTGACACCCCCACACTTTCCCAAAAAGTCTTTAAAAGTAGGTTCTCAAAACCATTGCTTTTAAACTTTGAGCTTGTTTGCCTCACTTCTGTATGGAGTCAATAAATGAAGTAGATGGAATACACCCAAATATGTAATGGAAACCTAATATTTAAAAACTAAAAACAAAAAGCCTCAACACAAAAGATTTAACAAAAAAAATACAGAGATGAAAACTTAGGGATTGAGAGAGCAGCAACAGAAAAAAGATAAACAACAGAGGAGTAAGAATCTTCTTAAAATTGCTTTCTCGTACTCCTTTGTAGATCGTGGAAAAGGCAATAATCTGAAGATTCACTTCTGAGTGTGGTGCTCATGCCCTTAAATGAATAGCCAGTGAAAAGAAACAATGTTCTTTTATACATAATTTCAGCTCTCAAAGTTATATAAATAATACTGGCTCCTTAAATACTATGTTTTAGTCCAACTGTGAAGGTTCAAATATGCAATTTTTCCAGAGGTGTTGAAGAAAATAAAAATGGTACTTGACAATTTGACTTAACATTTTGAACAGTAAACTGCCCAAAGTTGAAAGGCCAAAAATAGCACAGGTCCCTCAAATAGACTATCTTTTTTTAATTAAATTTTATTGTTTTTAGTAAAGCAAAGCTGACATTTTTTATCCTTTTGTTATAATGATTTATATCCTCTTAAAAGCCAGGAGGAAAACTGTATGTCTAATAGTACTTAATTCAATTTTGCTAAACTAGTAAAAACTTCGCTCAGAGGTGGTATTAATGGATGACTGCAAAAATTTGGGGAATCTTTAAAGTTTTTCTCGCTATGTGGTATTTTCAAGCAATTTTATTTAAAAAATGTGATTTTGGAACTGTCACACACCATCCACCGATGTGCACTGTCTTATATGTGACTGAGAGATACTAAGAGATGCTTTCTATTATCAATAACTATGCAGAATAATAAGGTGAAACTACAGTAGGTAACAGTTTCCAATTACAAATGGAGAAATGGAGTTTTTTAACTTTAATAGGGAAAATGTGGCAAATAGCCCACTATTTGGTACATGAGAACCTGATCCTGAATAATCTTTTACTATATGTATAATCTATTTATAGCCTATTTAGATAGGATCTTAAACTATCTTAACTACTCTGAAAAAACGCTAATTGCCAGTGTCACATAAACAATGGTAGAATGTGTTTATTTTCTTATACCTATCTCTAGAATTCATTAAAATCACAAATATGGAACTACTACACTTCTGCCATGAATTTTAAGTCTTGTGTCATATCTTAAATGAAGGGAAAAAAACTGTATTGATAGTAAATGGAAACTAGCATAAAGAAAACAATCAATGTGCTCAGAAAAATGAAAATATCATCTATAATAATGAGAACCACAAAGAAAAATATGACTGCAAGCTCATTAAGAGCTGGGAAATTTTCTTATGCATTCTTTTATCTTAAGTAAACAAATACTAGCACTCCTTTAAGACATCAAATATACTTTGGTCCAATAGTCCAGTGGCTATGACAAAAATGCTGATATTTGCTTTAAAGAGTATGTAAGTGGACTACAAATTGACTGTAAAGATAAAAATGTTATAGAGATTACTGTATCATATGAAGTATATAAGGAATAAACTAAGGGATGATCAAATATTAATATCATAAAGTCAGTCTTCAGAGAATGACATTTAGTGAGATAATTAAAATATGCTGAAAGTCTACTTTTTATTTTATTTTTTAAAAGATTTTATTTATTTATTTGACAGAGAGACAGCGAGAGAGGGAACACAAGCAGGGAGAGTGGGAGAGGGAGAAGCAGGCCTCCCACTGAGCATGGAGTCCAATGCAGGGCTTGACCCCAGGACCCTGGGATCATGACCTGAGCCGAAGGCAGATCCTTAACGACTGAGCCACCCAGGTGCCGTGAAAGTCTGTTTTCTAAAAAGGTAAATACTGTACTATAATTATAAAGTTTAATTTAAATTTGAATAATCTATAAGATAAAGAGCATTACTGAATTTCATCATGCAGGCAGGCAGAGAATTCAGACAAAAGGCATAGTTATATTAGTGAAATTATCTGCCAGAATAAAGTGTAACCACCTCATTTAAAAATTTCCAGCCTTAAGGCTTTAATAATTACATGTAAATATTACTTAATCTTTAAATGAAATTTTTAGAAAATTTTGCTTGCATTTTTATCTGCTGAACATGACAAGATTAACAATAGATATAATGACTAGCTTGTTGACATGCTCTCCTACAGAAATTATTCAGAGGACAGAGGACAAAGTTCATTTATCCAGCATTTACCAAGTACAATGCTAGGTACTAGGGATATAGTAAAGACGACAGAAATGATTCCTGCTTTTGTGAGTTCACAATCTAGACTGAGTTCCATCATTAGATTATTTTAAAATAGTTTAAAAGTTTTATAAAAACAGAAATAGGGGCGCCTGGGTGGCTCAGTTGGTTAAGCGACTGCCTTCGGCTCAGGTCATGATCCTGGAGTCCCGGGATCGAGTCCCACATCGGGCTCCCTGCTCAGCGGGGAGTCTGCTTCTCCCTCTGACCTTCTTCCCTCTCAGGCTCTCTCTCTCTCTCTCTCTCTCAATAAATAAAAATCTTTAAAAAAAAATAAAATAAAATAAAAAAATAAAAACAGAAATAGCTAAAGGAATCAAACAGTAAGCTTTATATTTTATTTTTTAAAGATTTATTTATTTTAGGGGCACCTGGGTGGCTCAGTCGTTAAGCATCTGCCTTTGGCTCAGGTCATGATCCCAGGGTCCTGGGACTGAGCCCCGCATCGGGCTCCCTGCTCAGCGGGAAGCCTGCTTCTCCCTCTCCCAGTCCCCCTGCTTGTGTTCCCTCTCTCACTGTCTCTCTCTGTCAAATAAATAAAATCTTTTAAAAAAGAGAGACTTATTTACTTTATTTTTTTAATAATTTTTTATTGTTATGTTAATCACCATACATTACATCATTAGTTTTTGATGTAGTATTCCATGATTCATTGTTTGTGAAGACTTATTTATTTTAGAGAGAGAGACAGAGTGCAAGCACGAGCAGGGGGAGGGGCCGAGGGAGAGAATCTCAAGCAGACTCCCAGCTGAGCACAGAGCGGAACTTGGAGCTCAATCCCACAACCCTGAGATCATGACCTGAGATGAAATTAAGAGTCAGATGCTTAGCCAACTGAGCCACCCAAGTGCCCCAACTTTATATTTTAATAAAATATAAAAATCTACTTAGTTATACTTTCCAAACAAATGAAGATAGTTTTTTGTTATTTCACTGCTCCAAGAGAATACCTGGCTTTTTTTTTGGCAGCCCCAATCAAATTCCTGTTCAGATGACTCTTATAGCATAAGCACATGAAAACTTTTTAAAAATCCAAAATAAATTATAATTTATAATAGCCTTTCTATAATTAAATGTAACCTGCAAGTGGTACTGAGCATTGTGGGAGATTTCTGGATTACTCTGGCTCTGCCAACATAATCACTGTATCATGGTTGTAAAGATTTTTTTTCCCAAGTTTTTATTTAAATTCTGGTTAACATATAGTGTGATATTGGGTTTAGGAGAATTTAGTGATTCATCACTTACATATAAGACCTAGTGGTCATCACACAAGTGCCCTCCTTGAGAGGTATTAACATGCTAGCAATGCAGTCTGAGCTTAAAAACAAATGAAGTATGTGCAAAAGTTCTATAGATGCCATACTAAAAGTGAATGCATATATAAGAAACACAGGGCACAAAGGGAGATTTTTTCAAACATCCATTTTCCTCCTTGTGAGATTATGGAGTTACTGTTACTGTTAGAAATGTCCAGGGCAGAAAAGAGATTGAGAACCTTTATTCTACTTGCTAATCTTGTGTTCCAAAAATTGCTGTTACCATCAGTATGATATGATCTTAATTCTGTACATAATATACCAAAGGTAAATTAAATTGTGAGTGGACTTTGAGCCTCACTTCCACACCCCATGATATATTTACTATTTCTAAGAGACATCAGGACTTGATACACTACTTTTTCACCTACTCATAGAAATAAAAAAGGACTACATATGATATATATTGCTCAAGCCATGAATGAGGAATCCAACTCATTGTTAGGAACAAGCAGATTCTGTAAATGTGTAAAACCTATAATTTCAATATAATGAGGCAAATTTTTTATATAAAGACTCTCAATCTACTAGAGCCGCACTTAACAGTCACAAAAATTCCACTGGGCATGCCATCATTCTAAGTGAATCAATGTTCTAATGAATCTTGACTACTGGCATGTGGGCTTTCCACTAATCTAATGTGTAATTAAATATGTTAAGAGTTAGAACATCTCACTTCTAATCAACCATAATGAATATTAAACAGCCTTTCACCAGTCCAATAACCAATATCTTTAACATGAGATAAAACAACTAAATGTAATGTGGTGTCCTAGATGGGACCCTGGGACAAAAAAAGGGCATTAGCAGAAAACTAGGGAAATCTGAATAAAGTATGGAATAGTAGTAATATACAAAATGCTGATTTCCTTAGTTGTGACACACTAAAGTAATGTAAAATGTTAATAATAGTAGTAACTGGGTATGTGTATAGGAATTCTTTATATTATCTTTTAAATTTTTCTGTAAATCTAAAATTATTCTAAAATAAAAATAGGAAGAATTTAGTCAAGAGAGGGAGACTGAATATATACAAGTGTACAAGGATGACAAAAATATTCTAAAGCATCCTGAGGAGATGGGATAGGAAGAAAGACAATTCCTCAATATTAAAAGAGGGTGCCTGGGTGGCTCCGTTGGTTAAGTGTCTGCCTTCGGCTCAGGTCATGATTCTGGTGTCCTGGGATCAAGTCCCGCATTGGGCTCCCTGATCCGCGGGGAGTCTGCTCCCTCTGCCTCTCTCTCTCTGTCTCTCATGAATAAATAAATACAATCTTTAAAAAGAAAAAGAAAAAGAAAAGAAAAGAAGGATGAAAGAGCAGAATGAGTATAGGTGTAGATAGATTTGCACATCTGTTATTCAAAAAATGAGGGGGTTTCTGGTTATGGCTTTTCTCTTCTTTATCATGTAGGAAAAGAGATCATCTGCGTATATTGAGAGGGGAAGGGTTAACCAGAGAAAAACAATATAGGGTAGCCAAGCAATTCTGAAGGTTCATTTTAGGCTGATGATGATGATCATAAATTTATAGAAGAACCAATTAGCCCTACTGTAGGTCTTTCTTCATCAGAAGTTGTGATTTGTTTCTTAATTCCTACTCAAAGGATGTATGTTATTTTAACTACTCTATTTGTTTTACATTGCTCTTGAATATGCAAAAATATAAAGTTTTATACTTTTAGAAAGACAAGGTTAAAATTTTATATTTTATCTTGAAAATATTATTTTATTTTTTTAGATAAAGAATACATTATCCAGGGGTGCTGGGGTGGCTCAGTTGGTTAAGCATCTGATTCTTAATTTTGGCTCAGGTCATGAATCAGGGTTGTGGGATTGGGTCCTGCGTTGGGCTCTGTGCTCAGCACGGAGTCTGCTTGAAACTCTCTCCCTCTCCCTCTGCCCCTCCCCCCACTTGTGTGGGCTCTCTAAAATAAATAAATCAATCTTGGGGTAAAAAGGACTATATTATCCGTGGAAACATGAGCTCTAACACATGTGAAGAATATATTTCTTCTCCCATCTCCTTCCATCCACTCCCTAATCCTTCCCCTTCATACATAGACCTAGGGTAGTGAAGAATAATTTTCTAATATACTTCAAAAGAAACCAAATGCTTTAGTTTAGCAAGGTAGATGAATAATGAAAAGGGTGCATTAGTAGAAACCAAAACACAGCTGGCATAATTAATCTGAAATCTATAAACCACTTTAGATCAAAAACCAAGGAATATGAGTAGGAATACTCAATCACAATAAAAACTCCATCACTTAACATTCATTAGAGGGCACTGTTTTCCTTAATTTCATGTAGACTGAAAAAGATAGCTCCTAAAGAATAGCTTTAACAATTATGTGGTGATTAAATCATACCTTTAGTTCCAATCTGAACACTCAATAACTCCAAAATTTATCTTGAGTACTAATCTCTGATAAAAATCGATAGCCAAAGAACACTTTCAACCAGGTAATCAAATGGCAAAGCTATTTAAATAAAAATGTCTTAGGCAGTGATGCAAAACTATGATCATAAACCTGTATACCAAAATCCAGTTGGCGCTATACTTTTACTTTATTATACACTGATGAATGTCAAATTAACAATGTGCTCATGTTATATACAGCATAAGGTAATTTTATTCTTTAGAATATGTAACCCAACAGAAGTTTTCGGTGGATAAAAACATTCCATGATATAATATGTAAAAAGGAGAGTAACAACTGCTAGCAATCCAGGAATCCTCAACTGCTCCTTCTTCAGACACAAAGTTCAGCTGAGTACCAGAGGTCCTGCCTATTTTATCTCTACATGACCCTGAGGATCTGGATTCTACTTCCCATTTCCACATGACTGCTGCATCATCCCTAATTTTGAATAAATTCCTAATCCATCTTCCTGCCTCTAGTCTTTCTCTTGTCCTACTTCATTTACACTTTTCCTGAAGCCACTGTTATGAAACAAAAATGTGATTACATCAGCCCTTGTTTATATCAATACCTCTGAGGCCCATTACATGGGATGAATGAAGTTCAGGCTCCTTGCCTGGCCTGGTAGCCAAAGCTTTTTACAGTCTGGATTTATCCTATTCTTTCAAGCCCTATTCTTTAATCTTATTCCACATTTACCCTTCATATCAGTTATAATTTCCCCAACATACCTACATTCATGCTTGTGGGTATTAGTACATCAAGTTTCCTCTGCTCAGAACACCCTTCTACCCACTGTCAACCTGACAAGTTCCTACCCGTCCTTCTAGAGCCAGCTAAAGCACTATCTCCTCTGTAAGCCTGTGATATGCAAAGTCATTTTACTTGCTATCTTGTCTGTTATCCCACAGCACTTTATATGTACCTCTACTATAGGACTATAACCATCCAAAAGAGATCCTTACATATACAATCACCTGAACTTATGTCAAAGGTGACACTGCAACAGGGAAAGCTGACCTTTCAATCAGCAGTGCTTAATGCAATTGCAAGGGTCAACTGGTGCATGGTAGAAGATATTTGCAAGACATATAACTCAGTTTCTTTATATAGAATGTATAAAGAATTTCCATAAATCAATAAGAAAAAGGCAGAAAAGAAAAGAGACGACAGACTTCAGCAGTTAACTCACAAAAGAAGGTATATCTAAATGGCCAATAAGCATTAAAAAGGTGTTCAGCTTAGTCATCAGAAAAATGCAAATAAAACCACAATAAGGTAACACTACACACTCACCAGAGAAGTTAAAAATTTTTTAAAAAAGAGACAATATCAAAAACTGGCTAAGAAGAACAAACACAACTGTAAAATACTGATTTGAGTGTAAATTGGTATGACCCACTTTGGAAACTCTTTCGACAGTGTTTAGGAAAGCTGAACATATGCACACAATCCGATCCAACAGTTCCACTCCTAGGTATGTATTCAACAGAAATGCTTACATATATTAACCAAAATACATGTACAAGAATGATGACAGAACCACTATTTTGTAATAACCAAAAATTAAAAACAACCCAAACATTTAAATGTCCATCAACAGGGAACTGGATAAAGTATAGCATACAATGGAATACCATGCAACAGTAAGAACAAATTAACTATAACTATATGCAACAAACTAGATGAAACATGAGCATAACATTCAGCAAAAGAGGCCAGCCAAAAAAAGAATACATACTCTATTCTTCCATGCATATTGCACAATATAAACTTGAATACACATTTTTATATATTTGTATAAAATGTATTTTAATAATTTATATAGTCATAATTCAAGTTCAAAAGTTTAAATATGAATAATCAGAAATAATAAAAGTATTTTTAAAATAAGAATGTGAATAAATGAAGATTTTAAAAAGTCTTTTGCGATATTAAAATATACTACAAGCATTATATAACCAAAACAATGGGAAACAGGTAAATCTAATCTTTGGCATTAGAAAGCAGGGATGTGGCTACAGTTGAGGAAGTAAGAGTAGAAAGTAAACAGAGAGGGTGGCAGGAAGGGGATTTGGGGACTTCGGGCATTTTCTTTTATTGATTTGGGTACTGGTTACACAGGTATGGTAACTTCGCAAAAAATACACTGAGCTATACCACAATAGTTTATGTACTTTTCTGTATCTGTAGTATATATTTAATATATATTATATACTTCTAGCATATATTAATAAAATTTTTCCAAAAAAAACCCAGAATATAGCTTAAATTGTATTCCAACATGCATCTTTAAACCCTTAAGAACTGGAAAACAATAAAATCCTAAAAGCAATGTAATAAAATTTAGTTATTAAAAAAGCAAATATAAAAATTAATGTAAAATGTTTACACCCAGAATATCCAAACAGATTTGATGGCATAGATATAGGAGACTGAAAACTTACTAAAGAAGCTCTACGAGACCTTCGGCTCATTGGTTGATCAAACGGTGGACTGTTTATCTGCAATTTTTCAAGATATCCATCAGGTATTCTGATATCTGCAGGCAGTGATAACCGCTTATTTAAATCCTTTATTTAAAAAAAGGGGAAAAAAGGTATTTGTAGGTAATCACAAATAGAAGAGACAAGAGCATTTCATTTTTGAATTCATGGGCCCTACTATATTATTTATTAATGATTAGTGGCTGTAAGTTTTATTACAGTTTTAAAGTTATACATGTTGATTATATATAATATCTGAATGCAAACGCACTTACTGTAAGCAAAAGTATACAACATAGTTCTACAGAAATGGTACCCTCAAACCCAGTTATTTCTGAGTCCTTTCACTGGTAAATTCCACATGGAATTTACTTAGACATTATTATACCATGTAGGAAGATGCAAAGACTACCAGAAAATGTGACCAGTTTAATAACTAACCAAGCAGATATTGTAAGGTTTTGTATGCAACATAGTGAGACAACTGAAATCTTTTATTAGTGCTGTATCAACAGAAAGAAGTAAAAAGCAACAAAAATCTCAACTAAACAACCTAACTTTACACCTAAAGAAACTAGAAAAAGAACAATGCCCAAACCTAGTAGAAGGAAGGAAATGATAAATATTAGTATAGAAATAAATGGAATAGAGATTAAAAAAAAAAAACAAAAAGGAACAGATCAATGAAACTAGAAGCTAGTTCATTGAAAAGATCAACAAAATTGGGATGCCTGGGTGGCTCAGTTGGCTAAGCATCCAACTCTTGATTTTGGCTAAGGTTATGATCTCAGGGTCAAGGGACTGAGCCTGGTGTTGGGCTCCGTGGTCAGCAGGGAGTCTGCTCAAGATTCTCTCCTTCTCCCTTTGCCTCTCCCCTGTGTGTGCATGTGCATGCTCTCTCTCTCAAATAAATACATCTTTAAGAAAAGGATCAACGAAATTGATAAACCATTAGCCAGACTCATCAAAAAAAAAAAGAGAGAGAGAGAGAAGACTCAAAATCATAAAGGAAAGATGAGAAATAACAACCAACTCCACAGAAAAGCAAAGGATTATAAGAGAATATTAGGAAAAATTATAAGCCAACAAATTGGACAACCTAGAAGAAATGGGTAAATTCCTAGAAACATATAACAACCTCCCAAAACTAAATCAGGAAGAAATAGAAAATTTGAAAAGACCAATTACCAGCAATGAAATTTAATCAGTCAGTTTTCAAAAAACTCCCAACAAATAAAAGCCCAGGACCAGACAGTTTCACAGATGAATCCCACCAAAAATTTAAAGAAGAGTTAATACCTATTCTCCTCAAACTATTCCAAAAATAGAAGAGTAAAGAAAGCTTCTGAATTCATTCTATGAGGCCAGCGTTACCCTGATATCAAAACCAGATAAAGACACCACAAAAAAAAAAGAGAACTGCAGGCCAGTATTTCTAACATAGATGCAGAAATCCTCCACAAAACATCAGCAAATCGGATCCAACAATACATGAAAAAAAATCAGGGGTGCCTGGCTAGCTCAGTTGGTAGGGCATGCAACTCTTGATCTTAGGGTAATGAGTTCAAGTTCAATATATTTAATAAGTATTAAATATATTTATATAAAAATATACAAATATATATTATTATTATATTAATATTTAAGTGGGATTTATTCCAGGGATGAAAGGGTGGCTCTTAAGGGGGGGGGGCATTTCTATTCCATTTAGTTATAAAATGTGAACTGGGAGAAATTAGAAGGGAATCTTGCCTATATTGTCACACCAAGAAACATAAATCCTATAAAAAATAAATCCTTACTATCTGTAACAGTAACCAAACCATGAAACAAAATTGAGATGTATAGGGACTATGTAAACGTTTAATGAGAAACACATAACTCAAGTACAGAAATATATACCATATTCCCAAATGGTAAGACTAAGTAATGAAAAGATAATGGTTCTCCCATATTAAATGTTTTACATTTTACATAATCCCAAACAAATCACAATAACTTTATTAGAACAAAATATTTAAAATTTATCTAGAAGAATACACAGAAAGTAACATCCAAAAACATTCTAAGTAAGAACACATATGTGTGTGCAAGATGTGGAAGATGTTAAGAAAGAAGTCTTTTCAGCTATTATAATATACAAAAGTAAGAATATCATCAAGGGACTGTCACCTTTGGGGCAAAAAATAAATACAGCTCAATGGAAGAGAAAGTTCAGATAAAAATCCTAATAGTAAAAAAACTTTTAAACATATGATAGAAGAAAAAATATATTTTATTATGATATAATTATAGTGATATGAACAGATACCAAGTTGATCTCAAGAGTTGAAAATATTAATTTATCATTTAGAAAACTGATATTGTTTTTTAATTGATTAAGAAGCAATCTTTTATCAATAAAAATGCAATCAACCAACGGGACAGATACCCCAAGCACTGTAATCTCAACTCAAAGGCACCAAAAAAAAACAATATTCTTAAATCAAAACATGTTCAATTGTTTTGGAGAAAACTATTTTAATCTATAGTATATACTGAAATAACATGCATTATCAACTTTGATCTCAAGGTTATATATGAGCTATTAATTTTTTTACATGAAGATATAACTTATATGTTCTACAGAAATTAGTAGGTATAATAAGCCATAAAGGAAATGATACCCATATTTATAATATAAAGCAAAAAAAAGAAAAGCTGGTGCTTATTTTATGTATACATTTTGAAATCTGAAATAAAATATTTATAAAATAAAATACTAAGTATCCGGATAAACCTCAAAAATATAATTAAAATCATATTTTCTAAAAAGAAAACTTGGCTAAAGTATCATTCTGAATTTCCAGTATTTTTGAAAATTCACATTTCCCTTACAGAGACCCTACATGGTTTTTGCGGATTGTTAAACATAATTAATGTATACTTGCCTTGGGATAGTATATAAGAAAGAAGGAAATATTCACAAGACTGTTCATTACTAATGCAAAGAAACAATTTTCTTACAATGTCATTTGCCTTCATGAAAATTTTCAAATGGTCATTTACTGTTTGATGTGTATGTGTATTCATACACACAAACACACATACGCAGGCATATGGTTACCTCCATTGAGATCCGTCTATGTATACGATTTCTAAGACAAACGCCTGTAGGTGACTGTACTTCATCAGATGATGTCCCAGAAGCTTGGTCACTCTCACCATCTGATCCCATTTTTAGATTTTCATGAACAATATCTGTATCACAAAATGAAACACCATTTATCTTCAAAGACATGCATTATACCTTACTATATCACATAATTTATTATCACTACAAATAAGATATAGATAGCCAACACATAAAAATCATAAAAGTTTTTTACATTCTGGTTGCTCTGTGTAGCTAATAGATCAAAACATAACTCAGATGTCTTGAAAGAGTAGTGACAAACCTTTCACACTCAGATTATGAAAAACTATGAAAATAATTAACATCCAAGTTATTATCAAGAGCTGAATAATAAAATTACAGACTGGAAAGAACATGAGGATTATTTAGTCAGTTCTCTCATTTTCCAGATCTGGGAACTGAGACTTTGAAAGGTTAAATGATTTTCAAAGGTTACACAGCTTAGAGGCAGAGCTAAAATAGAAACCTGGTCTTTTGCCTTTTATTTAGTTTACTATTTTTTCTGTAAAATAATGTGCCACTGGGTCTACAGCCAAATGATCTACTACTTTGAATATTCTTAAAAAATAAGTTTTTAAAGCCATTAATGGAGCTTCCCCTCTCCAGTGTTAAAAATTAAAAAAAAATTCAAAAATTATTCACTGAATATCTATTTAACTACAGAAACAAGCTTGTGAATCTGTATGGAGGAAAAAATATATTTAAATTACAAAACAAAGAGGTGTCGGGTTTTTTTCTTTATTATTAAAGATAAAAGTTAAATGGGAGTAGAGAGGAGGAAGATTAATTCCATCTGGGAATATTAAAAACAAACTTATATAACTTGTATAATACCTGCTCTATATTTGCATTTGTCAATCATCCTGTAATTCATCTAGCAAGAATTGCACACCAGAAACAAACAAACGCTAAATATCAAACACATCTCTTACCACTGGTTCTCTTTATACAATTATTCATTCCCCCAAAAGTATCATATTGTTTCATGCTACAGTGCTTTAACACAACACACTTTCCCCCCCTTTTACCCATAAGAGATGCCTTTCCCCAATTTAACAATTTGGTGAACTCATACTTATTTTTTCAAAACTATATTCATTTGTCATCACTCAGTAAAATCTTCTCTACTCCCAGACACAGATGACTATTGTGCCCACACCTACCACAACCACTGCACTGAAGTGCATTTTTTGGTTTCAGATGATTTTATACCAAGTTAGGAGATCCCTGGGGGGCAAGATTTAGCTTACTCACTTTTATATTCCCCACACTGAACAAAGTACCTGGTGTTTAGAAAGTGGTCAACAAATAATCCCATAAATTAAATATTAACTAAAAATCAAAGAATGCACTAGGTAACTATATCTCTTCTTTCAAATGAAATGTTATATGAAATACCAACATGTAAAAAAAATAGTATTTTATAGTTACAAATTTGTATTTTTAATGAATATTTGCTTATGAAAATGAGAACCATTTAACAAAAAACTGAACTCAAGGATCTTATCAAATCAGTCTTAAAATTTCTATATTTTTGTTTTTTGTCTTGATAACACATTATTTTTTAGAGAGAGAGAATACATGTGCATGAGTCGGGGGGGGGGCAGAGGGAGAGGGAGAATCTTAGGCAGATTCCACACTCAGCGTGTAGCCCAATAGGAGGCTTGATCCCACAACCCTGAGATCATGACCTGAGCGGAAATCAACAGTCAGATGCTTAACCACCTGAGCTACCCAGGTGCCCCTTGATAACACATTGAGAAAATTCTTACACTGATAAGCAGTTGCAAATATGATAGTTTTTAATAGACTGATATGTAATTTAAGAGTATACTTCAATTACATAAAGATTTCTGGAGAAATTTTATACTAAGATCTGAACAAAAAATTAACTTGGCAATAAAAGTCAATGTATTGGTAACTGATTGCTAATCTGATGGTATACAACACATCTGAGGTCAAGTATCCTTTTCTGTCACACTTTTAAAATGTTAAAGATAATTTAACCATGCCTTCTATTTCCAGCAAAATCTGAAAACCTTCCTTCCTCAAAGAAATATTGAATAAGATGTAATAATATTTTAAAATGCATAGCTGAGTATGAAAGAATATGTGCATGATACCAAGGAAGCAAAGACAAAGAGAACTGAGAGCCAAAAGATGTTATGTATAAATTGACTCCGTTACTCTCTCAGGGAGGGGTTGTTGATCTTGGTAAGAAAATGCTTGGGTTTAGCTGCCACACTGGGACAAAATAGGAAGCGTCAGGTGTCCAAGGTACAAGTGAGAGTTTCCTAAAGAAAGGCACAAGACTCTTAAAGTACTATAAAGGGCAGACTTAAATCTGTTCTACTGCACAAGGACTACAAAGGAGCATATGAATCTCAGACTATAAATAAATACTTGAGTACCATCGGACTCAACCAAGAAATTGTTCATGTCATTAATGAACAAGTGTAGTTCCAACATGAGTATCCGTATTTTCATTTCCATTATTAACACAAAAGTGAAACAATGAAGACCATGTCAAAACTTCACTCATTTGTCACTGGTGTGAGCAACTTCTTTGCTGAATCAGGTAATAGTTTTTGAGTACTGGAAGAATATTTACTTCTCAGATGGCTCAACTTTGTGCCACTCACAACTGTAAAAGCTACAGATACAACACACTTTTAATCTGCATTACTAACATTTTCAATATTACTTTCTTAACTTCAGACCAAAGATCAGCAAATGTGACCTGTTTTTGTACAGTTCCTGAGCTAAAAATATTTTCTGCATCTTTAGAGAGTTATTTTAAAAAGGAGAATATGCAACAGAGATCATATGTGTCCCACAAAACCTGAAAAATTTACAATCTGGACCTTTGCAGGAAAGTATGCCAATCCCCAGTCTAGACAACAAAACAATATATCAAGTCCTGATCTGAAGTCTTTTCCAGTTTCTCTGAGGTGAATACTCCCTCCATGGCCAAGTTCAAGCTACAACATGACCATCACTAAGCATGTAGTTGGGAAGAAATGTACATACTATTACATAAAATTTTGACTATACAGATACAACAGAAATAACCCCCAAAGCAGAGGTAATAGTAAAGTGTAGTAAAATAATTTGAAAATAATGACTTTTGAGGATTCATTACTTTTGTAATTGGCTTACTTAATTATAGGTTTTTAACACTTAAACTTTAATAATGGCTATATTTAACAACCAGCTTGGAAAACTCCTGAAAATTTAACAATCATCTCTCATGAACCAGTGTGAGACAACTATAGCACACCATTCTGTAGGTTTACACCTATAGGGATAAAGGCTACATACATTTCCCCACAGGTAAAACCCCACTATAGATAAGCTCACACTCCCCAAATTAACAAAACACATGAGGAAATAACCTGCCAAGGAAGCAGATTAAGCAAGGAGTAAAATAAAACCCTCAGAAACTTCAGTAAATATGTCATGAGACTATAAGATCATTTATGCTTAAAATGATCTTAAAAATCAAAACATGATAGTAAGATGCTATCAAAAAAGGCCAGAGGAAAAAAAGACCAGAGAAATAAACAGAAACTGGCAGGCATATATTTTTTAGAATGACATAGTGATGTAAGAATAGCAACTCAGGTGACAATCATGTATATGAATCATTGCACTGGGCTATCGTATGGTGATAATCTGCAGTTACCAGGGTATGACCCTAAATTAAGCACCATCTTGAAATGCCATTCATCTTGAAATCTTGCATCCATCTCCTAGGGGTTTTGTTTTCTTCCTGGTGGACAGGTTTTCAAATGTTACTCCTCTGTATTGTCAACACTAGTACCTCTCTAGAGCCTTCCATCTTTCTGCTATCTCTGTTATTTTCAACTTGATTTTTATTTTATAAAAAAAATCAGATAATAAAGGCTGGCTGACTTCCATACCACTATAACAATAGCTACTACATGTATGACTTACAGTCAGAAAGTTAAAAAAAAAAAAAAAGGACTGTTAAATTACCTAATCTGCTTCCATTTCTGGGCATTGCCATGAAGGATCCAAGGCTTCCTCCAATAACGCTATGTGGTCTCCGCAATGGGGGCTTCTTGAAGGACCCTGTGTACTGATGGAGGAAGGAATGCATACTGTGAGAGGTTGGAGGCCTGCCATTCTTCACAATAGGCTCTGTGGTTCACAGTATCCAAAATCATTCCATTAACAGCCCAAGATCCAGGATCACATGAAAAGGATTGAGAAAGCAAAACAGAAAACAAAACAAAAGGTTTATAAGATCAGTAACATTTAAGAATTCTTTGGCTATCTATACAAAGAACCAGAATTAAAATAATTTCCATGAAAAAATACTTACAGAAAACACTTTAATATTTGAAATTGGTCTAATCACTTAAGTAGGTACTTCTTATATAACCAAAATTGATTAGCAATCACAAAACTACTAACCTAGCCCATAGATTTTATCCATTTGCTTATTTTAGTATATCCCAAGTTTGTTTCCAAACTACTCCTACATTTACTAACTGTCTCATATATGCCTTATAATTAGGCATGCTATAGAATATAAAAGACATGGTCCTGGCCTCAAGGAATTTATATCCCTATTTGCTAGACATTCAAAAGGTATGTCAGTTAATGGATAAACACAGAAGTACTTAAGCATATATCAATATAGAGGTTCTGAAATTTCTTACCCAAAATTTGGGACTTTTAATATAAAGAGTTTTTTTTTTAAAGAAACCTCAGACTTATAAACAAGCAGAAACATTTAAAAAATACAGAATACTTAAGTTATTTAATTATAAATGGGAGAAATCCTGTTTTGTAATGCTCATGAGGAATTTCATGATTCCTTAAGAAGAGCTCTAAAATAGGTTAAAGACACGATGAAGTCTTCTATGACAAGTAATTAGTCTTTTGTATTAGAATTATGTTTTACTGGTAGCAGCTAAAGAATTTTAAAAGGAATTGGGCTTCTCTGAATGCCTTTTCTCCTCTAAAATGGAGCCAGCTCTTTTGCAGCTGATAATCAGGAGTAAGAATATCTACTGATGTGGTTTCCCCTACCTGTAAAGGTTTATCAGACACCAAGAACAAGACCACGTGGCCTGCACCTCTACTAATGATGGCTACATAAAAGAAGATGGGAAAAGGAGGATGGGGCCAAAGGGCCCTTGGGGCTCAGAGAGAGCCCAAGTTATCTAATTTGGGTAGAACACCAGACTGGAAAAAGGAAAAGTGCCTAACTAGTAATAGATAATATCTGTCCAAAGCTTCCTATGGCTTATACATTCCTTGGCAATAGCTGGCTGATCAAAGATTTGGGGGATCTTAAAATAACCAATGATTTAAGAATGAATGGGGAAGAGGTATCTGAAAAAGTGCAAAAATTAAATAGTCAAACAGTGTAGGATACAAGTTAGAACATATAAGAGAAAATTTTCTCTTTCTAGGTTATACTATTTCCTATCTAGAATCATAATAAAATACAGAATTATTCTGCCTATAGACAACATGTTTTAGTTGCTCTGTAAAGTTATCCTAGGGATTAGAGCTTTACAGTCTTGAGGAATATAGGAGAAAAAAAGGAGATCATAAAAAACATTCAATTATTCAGAGGCCATTTATTGTGTGCCTACTATTCCAGGTCCTGGGCATCAACAGGTGAACAAAACAAGCAAGGTACTATTCTCTAAGATTATAAGATCTTATGGAGGGGAAACAAATAAAAAACTAATGAATAAGAAAAACATCAGATAATGATAGGCAATATGCAGAAGAGAGATGACGGAAAATAAAGGAGTAGCTATTTTACACTGGATACTGAGTAAAGTTCTCTCCGTAGAAGTATTTTTGACAGAGATATAAATGCAATAAAGAGCCAATCTTGGGAAGATAGGTGATGGTGAGTTAAAAGATAGTCCAGAGGGTAAAGCTACTGCAAAAGTTGACATGTGGCAGGGGTAAAACTTTAGCATGTTTCAGTATCACCTTCAGAGACTTGTTAAAATACAAGATTGCTGGGCCCTACCCACAGACTTCCTGACTCAGATCTGACATAGAATCCAAAAATTTGCATCTCTAACAAATTCTCAGGTGCTGCTGATATTGCTGGTCTAGGGGTCAAACTCTGAAAACACTGTGTTAGAGGAACACAAAGAGGGCAAGTGCTGTACTATATATATGTTACTTAGTGAGGACAGAAAGATAAGCATGTTTGTATGTAACCATAAATGTTCCAATTTTATTCTGAGATTGGAATCAGTTATGGTAGCTTTGAAACAGGTAGTAATATGATCTCATTCATGTTTTAAAAATATCACTCCTAGGGGTCAGGGATGGTTGGAGATAAGAGGTGGAATAACTATAAAGAGGTAGCATAAAACGGATCTCTTTCTGGTAATGGAATACTTCCTTATCCTGATTGCAGTGGTGGTTATACGAATCTACACGTGATAAAATGACACAAAAGTATACTCACACTTTATTCCAGTGTTAATTTCCTGGGTTTGATAATGGTTTATAGTTAAGAAAGATGTAGCCAAGGGAGGGAACAAAGAGAAGGGCACGAGGAACTTCTCGGTACTATGTTTGCAACCTCCTTTGAATCAATGATTATTAAAAATTAAAAATTTGGGGGCACCTGGGTAGCTCAGTTGGTTAAGCGACTGCCTTCAGCTCAGGTCATGATCCTGGAGAGTCCCAGGATTGAGTCCTGCATCCGGCTCCCTGCTCAGCAGGGAGTCTGCTTCTCCCTCTGACCCTCCCCCACTCTCATGCTCCCCCTCCTTCTCTCTCTCTCATTCTTTCTCTCTCAAATAAATTCTTTAAAAATAAAAAAAAATTTTTAATTAAAAATTTTAAACATCACTCTTGGTACTGCTGGAGAACAGATGAGAGGGAATCAACAAGAGGGGAAACAGAAGGAAGAGACTATTATAGTATCCTAAACAACAAATGGTGGTGGCCTGGACTAGAATGGAGAGAAGTAGGCAAATTTAGGATATATTATAAAGACAGAACCAAATGGTTAGCAGACATGGCTGCAAAATTACTTTCATATATACTCTCCCCCATCCAGCTTTTAGTGAGGACCTATATTAAAAACATCTATCTAAAGAAAAATTTTAAAGCTACAGCAGAGCCTCTGTTAAAAATAAATAATACATAAAAGGACAATAGCTGGAAACATGTTATCAAGCATATAAATTACTATCATTAATAGTGAGTTTTTAAAAATTATTTACATTGTAAATACACAGGAAACTAGAATGGCAGAAGAGGGGAGAAGGGGAAACAGAACAGTGAAGGAGAAAGAAAAATCAAGGATAACTCCTGGGTTTTTATTTTTAAGTGATTTAGGTTAAATGAGGAAAGTTGGAAAAGAATCAGATTTGGGGGGAAGGAAATCAAGAATTCTGGTTTGGTAATATTAAATTTGACTCTTATTAAACATCTATGTGGGGAAGCCAACTAATATTTGGATGTGAATCTAGAGATCCAGACAAAAACCCTGACTAGAAATACAGATTTAGAAGCAGTCAGCATATACACAGTAGCTGAAATCATAGGATTGGATAACGTCAGCCCATGGAGAGTGTACAGAAAAGAGAACGGGGCTCATGAATCGTAAAATATCCCAACATTTGAAGAGTATGATAGCAATTGACTGGGCAAGTCAAGAAGATAACATGCTGCATTTTAAAAAATGGAAACTTTAAAGACATCATGCTAAATGAAAGAAGTCAGATACAAAAGGACAAATATTGTAGGATTCCACTTATATGAGGTACCTTGAAAATTCATGGAGACGGAAAGTAGAACAGTTGTTACCAGGGACTGAGGGAAGGGGAGAACAGAGAGCTACTACTTAATGGGTATAGAGTTTCAATTTGGAATGATGAAAAAGTTCTGGGGATAGATGGTGGTGATGTGATGGTTGCACAACAATGTGAATGTACTTCATGCCACTAAAACCAGAAACTTCAAAATGGTTAAAATAGTAAATTCTACATTATGCATAATTTACCACAATATTTTTTAAAGTAATGGAAATCTATATGAAAAACAGATCTTTCTTATTCTACAAAGTAGTTAGTTCAAGTAAGACTTCCCCATGATTTTTAACATCATAACATGGCAATCACTATGATTTTATGCATCTTATTCATTTGGGTCTTCTGATTATGTGAACTATTCTGAGTAGAAACATGCAATTTTTTTTTTAAAGATTTTATTTATTTATTTGACAGAGAGAGAGACAGCGAGAGTGGGAACACAAGCAGGGGGAGTGGGAGAGGGAGAAGCAGGCTCCCCGCTGAGCAGGGAACCCGATGCGGGGCTTGATCCCAGGACCCTGGGATCATGACCTGAGCTGAAGGTAGACGCTTAGCGACAGAGCCACCCAGGCGCCCCAGGAACATGCAATTTCTTAGCCCACCCTGGACTCTTTGTCATTCCCTACTCCTAATCCCACTCTTATAAACACTATTAATATCTGATCCTAATCATACCCTACATACATCCATAGTCTGTGCTTTCAACCTCATCCTCTCATGGACCTTTGCTATTTGTAGGAGTTAGCACTACTTACAACCTCCTATATGTCATCCACTACTGTAAAAAAAACTGTCACTGCTATCATGTATCAGATCATCAGAAGAAAGGAAAAAACCTGGGAGTACGACAACGTTTCACAATATCCATCAACTAGGCTTGTTGACTCTAAACAACATAATAAACTGACCCAGTGCACAGACTGAGTAGTAAAGAAAAGAAACTGGAATAGCTGGAAAACTACATCATTTCAATCTTTGCCTTTTAAGGTTTCTTCAGATTCTAAATAATCATGAGAAGTGGCATTCTGTTAAGTTTACATAATAACATAAAGATGCAGTTTTCTTAGTTGAAGAATTTCAGTTGTCAAAAAAAGTAATTTTTGTTGTAGCTGCAGTTGAAAGGTCCAAATAATATATATAAAATAAAACTCATTTTTGCTTTTTTTTTTAGTGTAACTGTGATCTATTTTCTCCCTCATATTTAAATTGCCACCTATTCCCCTCATCAAATTCAGTAATTTTAATATATCTTCTCATTAGAGTAAGGTTAGCTACTTAGACAAGATCCTGAAATAACTTTCTGTGATATGTTTAAAATACTATTAAGACATTTATTGGGGTGCCTGGCTGGCTCAATCGGGTGAGGCATCCAACTCTTGATTTCAGCTCAGGTCATAATCTCAGGATACTGAGATTGAGCCCCACATTGGGCTCCACACTGGGCGCGGAGCCTGCCAGGGATTCTCTCTCCCTCTCCTTATGCCCCTCCCCCCGCCCTCTCTAAAAGAAACAAAACAAAACAAAACACAAGGCTTAATTAAAATACCAAGAATTCAAAGGGGATTTGAGAGAGAATTAAGGATTTTGCTCCTGGCACAAAGAAAAAAAGTAAGACCTAGAACTGTCTTTGAGTTTTGACCCAAATGCAAAATGTGTCCCCCTCCGACGTAAGTTATATCCAAATTATTATTTTTTAAATTTTCTACTCATCTATGTCTCCTCTCCCCTACTACAACTAGCCAGATAAACTTAAGTAAATGATGATCTTTCTGAGAAAAGAGATAAACTGAAGCTTAAGATAAATTAAAGTCATATAACTAATTAATAAGGGTATAAGTGTGTTAGAGTATCCCAAATTCTAATCCATGACTTTTAACTTAAAGTTCAGAGCCCTTTATATTATACCTTTCCCTCTCTCACAACAAAGACATATGCATTCAACAGAAGTGGGTAGGGGTATTCATGTTTTCACCCACCGCCACAAATTTCTAACAGAAGAATTTCAGGTACAGGCAAGAAAGGCTTCCCAGACAATGTGTACTTCATGACATACTAGCAGTCATTCCTATAACTCCTTCCTGGTTATTATTATGACATCCCTAGGGTTACTTCAGTTTTGAATATGTAGCCTTGTTCTATAAATTTCATCAGGATTTTACATTTTAATCCACTCAATTAAACAAGTTCTCTTCATTTTATATCAACCTCTGTGTAAAGAACTATCAAACATGTGAAATGCTGTATGCCTACCTACTTAAGTGCTCTCAATATTATGGATAGACTCTGCAGTAAATATAAAATAAGGAAAGAGTAAGATTCACTCACGTCATGAACCTTCTCATCTATAGTCCATATGCATATATAATGTTATAAAACTATGATGAAGCCTCAAAAAGGAATTTCACAAACTTACTACACTTTTAAGCTGCATTAACTTAGGTTAACTCAAAAACAGTTATTTAACAACTAGGATATTATATAAGGTATTCTTATTTAAGAGACAATAAAAAATAGAAAGATAAATGGGATAGGAGAATCTGTAAGGGTTAGAGACCGGGTACAGTAACACTCCTGGAATAAGAGTGAAACATTCTAATAATTAAGTAAGCAAAAGTCACATAGTCTTCTGTTTCCTAAGAACTAGAGAATAAGACAAAGAAATAAACAAAAGGAAGCTATTAGGAACTTACCAAAAAAGTAAATTCACATTCAATTTATAAAGTAATTAAAAGGCGGAAGCATCTCTCCTTCCCTCCTCCCCTCCCCAGCCCCAAATACTTACCATTATCCTTGCTGCTATTTTCTTCAATAGTCATTTGTTCCGCCAATTCAGACAATGATTCATCAATAGTTTGGCTTCCCCGAAGAGTGAGGGATAGCCTTCTCTTAAATTTTTTCATCCTATCAACTGAATGTGACTTGAAAAATCCTAAAAGAACAGAACAGAATGAACACAAAATTAAAGCTCTAAATATTTTAATGCTCAAGAAAAATGTCATTCTGAGTTTACTGGGAACCTTCAAAATAGGAATATAAACAGGAATTCTCATGGCAACCAGCATCACAAAATCCAACCCCTTCAAGATTCAGTCACTTTGATTAATGCTGTATTTATGCAGTATCATCAGTAGAGCAGGGATTCTACAAAACTAAATAAAAATGGAGGTTTCAGCATCACAGCTGAATTTTGATTAGAAATTTTCCTAAAATTTGCTTTTTAAAAACCAATATAGTAAAAATATCAACACGATTTTGATGCATAGGTCACATCATTATAAATACCAATCATCACATTGGAAGCTGTCAGTGATATCTTTATATATAAATGGGGGGACAGGGGAAGTGAAGGGGGCTGGAGAGAGAATAAAGAATGATGTTTGACACTTTATTAAATAGCTCCAACAGGAATTTTTTAAGTTCTTATTTAACCAATACATTGCATTTTTGGTTTTTTTTTCCCCTGGTTAGCTGTTAGGAACCTCTTCCTGTTATCTTAACAATGCCAAGTTTTAGAAGGAAGAAATGAAAGCCAAATTCATAGTATTAAATGCATACCCAGTACTACAAACTTTCACATCGCTTAATTCATTTGGTCTTCTTATCTCTAAAGACTAGACTATCTAAAGCAGCTATACTACCCAATTTTGACAAATAAACTAACAACTTCAAAGAAGTTCCCTGACCGAAGTCAAATGAACAATAAATGATAGAACTGAGATTTAAAACTAGGATCACCTTTCCCCCCCCATTTTAACCTCTCTGAAATTAGAATGTAGTTTATAATTAATGGGATGTCAAAATATAATTGACAGCCTCTTTTTCTTAGTGGTACATACAGCAATGGTATGATTCATAGTAGAGTCTCGAAATCAAACAAGGTATTTGCCGCCAAAACAAATACCTCAATAATTTACTTGCAACTTCTTTTCTAATTTACTAGTTCTTAGTTGGGATGAGCAATTTTACCAGATTACAAACATATTATAACCATTAGCCCAACTAAAAGTAAGAGCCTTATAACTCCCCTATGCTAAAATACATGTTTTACCATCCAGCTCTGGGTGACTACTTTGAATCTCTAAGTATTTTGCTTATTTTCTCATTCTATTTTCGTGAATAGATTATAGTACTCTAAAGCTCTTGTCTGTAATCCGGAGTCTGCATAACCTATTTCTATTGTTGATTTAACTCTGTTGGTCCCATGCATGCCTAGTAATTTTTAATTGAATGTTACACATTGTATGTAATGACTGTATAAAAATATGTATGATAAAGTGTAGAGGCTCTAGATTATGTTACCTTCTTCCAGAGATGATTTAATTTTTTTCTAGCAAGCAGTCAGAGTAGGAGCAGATCACCGCAATCCAATCAAGGACTGAGCTGGCATGAGACTGGGTTTCAAACACCATTAACACCATTAAAACTGGCCTATCTCTGATCTGTTCTCATTCCTATGGTGTGCCCCCCTTCAAAGGATTCCAGCCACAAACGCAGGGCTAGAAACAACAAAAAAACTACTGAAAGCTCCACTCAACTTCCTCAGTTGCCTTTTGCTCATCTCTTCTATAATGCTCAGCTTTTATCGTCTTATCCAAAATAACTTGAGCTAGAAAACGCCTCAAGAGGAACACCAGCACAGAATATATCTCTCCCTTCTCTCCTGAATCTTGACTCCTTAAGGTGTGACTAACTTCAAAGCACTACGATGCCTTCAAACTCATTTCTCCCCCTACATGTCAAATAGTTCTCTGCAGGATATTTAGTATAATACAAGTTGCTCTATCATAGGCAAAAATGGAGATTTAGGTGTGGATTAAAAGCGATAATATATTTGTGACAGCACCATACTGTTTGATTATTACAGTTTTTTTTTTTTAAAGATTTTATTTATTTATTTGACAGAGAGAGAGACAGCGAGAGAGGGAACACAAGCAGGGGGAGTGGGAGAGGGAGAAGCAGGCTTCCCGGCTAGCAGAGACCCTTATGTATGGGTCGATCCCAGGACCCTGGGATCATGACCTGAGCCAAAGGCAGATACCTAATGACTGAGCCACCCAGGCGCCCCCTCTAGTAGATCTTTAAATCTAGAATTGTGATACCTCCACCAGCTTTGTCCTTCTTTCTCAAGACAGTTTTCACTATTCAGGGTCTTTTGTGGTTCCATACAAATTTTAGAATTATTTGTTCTAGTTCTATTAAAAAGATGGTGTTGGTATTTGGATAGGGATTGCACTGAATCTGCAGACTACTCTGGGTAGTATGGACATTTTGACAATAGTAATTCTTCTAATCAATGAGTATGGATTATCTTTCCCTTTGTTTGTGTTGTCTTCAATGTCTTTCATCAATGTTTTATAGTTTTCTGAGTACAGGTTTTTCACTTCCTTGGTTAAGTTTAACCCCAGGTATTTTATTCTTTTTGGTGTATAGTGTATTTCTTGCAATAGCCAAGATTTGAAAACAGCCTAAGTGTCCATCAATAGATGAATGAATAAAGAGGATGTGGTATGGGGGCGCCTGGGTGGCTCAGTCGTTAAGCACCTGCCTTCAGCTCATGATCTCGGGGTCCTGGGATCGAGCCCCACATCGGGCTCCCTGCTCCGTGGGAAGCCTGCTTCTCCCTCTCCCACTCCCCCTGCTTGTGTTCCCTCTCTCACTGTGTCTCTCTCTGTCAAATAAATAAAATCTTAAAAAAAAAAAAGAGGATGTGGTATGGAATATTACATAGCCATAAAAAAGGATGTAATCTTTCCATTTGCAACAACAATGGATAGACTTAGAGGATATTATGCTAAGTGAATTAAGTAAGAAAAAGACAAATACTGTTTAACTTCACTCATATGTTGAATCTAAAAAACAACTGAATAAAAAAACAAAAAGCAGAATCAGACCTACAAATACAGAGAACAAATGGATGGTTACCAGCGGGAATGGGGGGGCTGCAAAATGGGTGAAGGAAAGTGGAAGATACAGGTTTCCAGTCATGGAATAAGGTTGTATGGTGACAGATGGTAGCTACACTTGTGGTGAGCATAACATATCATAGAGAGATGTTGAATCACTATGTTATATATATGAAACTAATCTAACATTGTGTATCAACTATATTCCAATTAAATTTTTAATACAAATAAATAAAATAGATAATATATGTATTTCACCAAGCAAGGTGAATTTATGGGAGGCAGTAGTAAAATATAAGAGTTGATTCCAACTAAGAAACCTGTTACTGTAGGGCTGTCCTACATGCTAGATTCTTTACTTCTTGGTCAGCCCTTATATAGTTCTACTTTGTTAGTAATCCATGACCTTTGTTTAAAACATATTAGATATTTAATGTAAATTGAGCTATGGCCAATCTCATCTACCTTCTGTCACTGTAAGAATTTATACTAGAGACACACTCTCCTATGTAAGGATCCAAATCACCCTGTGCAATAAAGGGGTAACTCTACAAGGCTGGTGCAGGGTTGGGGGGGAGGGAGCTCAAAGTCTGCACATTCCAAAGAAAAGACTTAACTGTGATAGACTCCTGAGAAGTAACTTTGAGCCCCTGGAATATCCTGCCTGGTAAGTCTCTTTGTTTGCCTAAGATCTTGGGCCATACAGTAAATGTCTGTTTTTCTATGCCTACGGTTTGAGCCATTCTATCAGATGGACCTTGGAGGAGAGGAAGCATAAGGAAAGCTGGTGGAGACAGAGTAGCTAAGATAGTTATATGGGTACTTCCATGCCTATGTAACTGATCCCCAGTGAAAACCCTGAACACCAAGACTCAGGTAAGCTTCCCTGGTTGACAACACTTTGCACATGTTGTCATACAAGGTAGCTGGAAAAAGGAAGCACTGTCCATATAACTCCACTAGGAGAGGGTAACTAAAAACTTGTACCTGGTTTCTCTTGGACTCCATCCTACACACACTTTTCCCTTTGCTGATTTTATTCTGTTTCTTTTCACTGTAATAAATCATAATCATGAGTTTTTTCTCTGCTTTTCTCTGATTTGTGTGTCCTTCTAGCAAATCACCAAGCCTAAGGATGGTCTTCAAGAAATCTGTATGCCCAAACAGAAACTCTTAAAGAGCTGGTAGCTCACAACTACCGTTTTCAACTCCAATATTCTCAAACATAGTGGCATGATCACCAATGTCTACTGAACTGTATAGACATCACTTTTGAATTTTGCACATCATGTTTAAAAGTTTGCTGCCTCTTGTCTCAGATGACACATAAGGACTGAACAACAAACTACAACAGAATGTTATTACAGAATTAATTCACACAGTACACCCCATTCTGACCACTTGAGAAGTGGTCAGTTCAAACTACCTTATACTGTAAATGTAAAATACAAACTGTATTTTAAAAACTTGGTATTTAAAAAAAAATACTCAGGGGTGCCTGGGTGGTTCAGTCATTTAAGCATCTGCCTTCAGCTCAGGTCATGCTCTCAGGATCCTGAGATTGAGTCCTGCATCGGGCTCCCTGCATCAGTGGGGAGCCTGCTTCTCCTCTGCCCACTGCTCCCCCTGCCTGTCCTCTCTCTCTCTCCCTCGTTGACAAATAAATAAAATCTTAAAAAAATAAAATAAAAATTTAAAAAATACTCAGTATTTTTATTTTTTTAAAGATTTTATTTATTTATTCGAGAGAGAGAGAGAATGAGAGATAAAGAGCATGAGAGGGAAGAGGGTCAGAGGGAGAAGCAGACTCCCTGCTGAGCAGGGAGCCCGATGCAGAACTCGATCCCAGGACTCCAGGATCACGACCTGAGCCGAAGGCAGTCGCTTAACCAACTGAGCCACCCAGGCGCCCAATACTCAGTATTTTAAAAGAATATAAAAATCACTCATTAACTGTTATATGGATAACATAAAAAAAATTCCAAACATATTTGGTTATGTAAAATGTATTACTAAAACTAACTCT